CAAGATGTGAGTAAGATGGGAGCAAGATGTGAGTAAGATGGGAGCAAGATGTGAGTAAGATGGGAGCAAGATGTGAGTAAGATGGGAGCAAGATGTGAGTAAGATGGGAGCAAGATGTGAGTAAGATGGGAGCAAGATGTGAGTAAGATGGGAGCAAGATGTGAGTAAGATGGGAGCAAGATGTGAGTAAGATGGGAGCAAGATGTGAGTAAGATGGGAGCAAGATGTGAGTAAGATGGGAGCAAGATGTGAGTAAGATGGGAGCAAGATGTGAGTAAGATGGGAGCAAGATGTGAGTAAGATGGAGCAAGATGTGAGTAAGATGGGAGCAAGATTGTGAGTAAGATGGGAGCAAGATGTGAGTAAGATGGGAGCAAGATGTGAGTAAGATGGGAGCAAGATGTGAGTAAGATGGGAGCAAGATGTGAGTAAGATGGAGCAAGATGTGAGTAAGATGGGAGCAAGATGTGAGTAAGATGGGAGCAAGATGTGAGTAAGATGGGAGCAAGATGTGAGTAAGATGGGAGCAAGATGTGAGTAAGATGGGAGCAAGATGTGAGTAAGATGGGAGCAAGATGTGAGTAAGATGGGAGCAAGATGTGAGTAAGATGGGAGCAAGATGTGAGTAAGATGGGAGCAAGATGTGAGTAAGATGGGAGCAAGATGTGAGTAAGATGGGAGCAAGATGTGAGTAAGATGGAGCAAGATGTGAGTAAGATGGGAGCAAGATGTGAGTAAGATGGGAGCAAGATGTGAGTAAGATGGGAGCAAGATGTGAGTAAGATGGGAGCAAGATGTGAGTAAGATGGGAGCAAGATGTGAGTAAGATGGGAGCAAGATGTGAGTAAGATGGGAGCAAGATGTGAGTAAGATGGGAGCAAGATGTGAGTAAGATGGGAGCAAGATGTGAGTAAGATGGGAGCAAGATGTGAGTAAGATGGGAGCAAGATGTGAGTAAGATGGGAGCAAGATGTGAGTAAGATGGGAGCAAGATGTGAGTAAGATGGGAGCAAGATGTGAGTAAGATGGGAGCAAGATGTGAGTAAGATGGGAGCAAGATGTGAGTAAGATGGGAGCAAGATGTGAGTAAGATGGGAGCAAGATGTGAGTAAGATGGGAGCAAGATGTGAGTAAGATGGGAGCAAGATGTGAGTAAGATGGGAGCAAGATGTGAGTAAGATGGGAGCAAGATGTGAGTAAGATGGGAGCAAGATGTGAGTAAGATGGGAGCAAGATGTGAGTAAGATGGGAGCAAGATGTGAGTAAGATGGGAGCAAGATGTGAGTAAGATGGGAGCAAGATGTGAGTAAGATGGGAGCAAGATGTGAGTAAGATGGGAGCAAGATGTGAGTAAGATGGGAGCAAGATGTGAGTAAGATGGGAGCAAGATGTGAGTAAGATGGGAGCAAGATGTGAGTAAGATGGGAGCAAGATGTGAGTAAGATGAGTAAGATGGAGCAAGATGTGAGTAAGATGGGAGCAAGATGTGAGTAAGATGGGAGCAAGATGTGAGTAAGATGGGAGCAAGATGTGAGTAAGATGGGAGCAAGATGTGAGTAAGATGGGAGCAAGATGTGAAGTAAGATGGGAGCAAGATGTGCAGTAAGATGGGAGCAAGATGTGAGTAAGATGGGAGCAAGATGTGAGTAAGATGGGAGCAAGATGTGAGTAAGATGCGGAGGCAAGATGGAGTAAGATGGAGCAAGATGTGAGTAAGATGGGAGCAAGACTGTGAGTAAGATGGGAGCAAGATGTGAGTAAGATGGGAGCAAGACTGTGAGTAAGATGGGAGCAAGATGTGAGTAAGATGGGAGCAGATGTGAGTAAGATGGGAGGCAAGATGTGAGTAAGATGGGAGCAAGATGTGAGTAAGATGGGAGCAAGATGTGAGTAAGATGGGAGCAAGATGTGAGTAAGATGGGAGCAAGATGTGAGTAAGATGGAGCAAGATGTGACGTAAGATGGGAGCAAGATGTGAGTAAGATGGGAGCAAGATGTGAGTAAGATGGGTAGCAAGATGTGAGTAAGATGGGAGCAAGATGTGAGTAAGATGGGAGCAAGATGTGAGTAAGATGGGAGCAAGATGTGAGTAAGATGGGAGCAAGATGTGAGTAAGATGGGAGCAAGATGTGAGTAAGATGGGAGCAAGATGTGAGTAAGATGGGAGCAAGATGTGAGTAAGATGGGAGCAAGATGTGAGTAAGATGGGAGCAAGATGTGAGTAAGATGGGAGCAAGATGTGAGTAAGATGGGAGCAAGATGTGAGTAAGATGGGAGCAAGATGTGAGTAAGATGGGAGCAAGATGTGAGTAAGATGGGAGCAAGATGTGAGTAAGATGGGAGCAAGATGTGAGTAAGATGGGAGCAAGATGTGAGTAAGATGGGAGCAAGATGTGAGTAAGATGGGAGCAAGATGTGAGTAAGATGGGAGCAAGATGTGAGTAAGTTGGGAGCAAGATGTGAGTAAGTTGGGAGCAAGATGTGAGTAAGATGGGAGCAAGATGTGAGTAAGATGGGAGCAAGATGTGAGTAAGTTGGGAGCAAGATGTGAGTAAGATGGGAGCAAGATGTGAGTAAGATGGGAGCAAGATGTGAGTAAGATGGGAGCAAGATGTGAGTAAGATGGGAGCAAGATGTGAGTAAGATGTGAGTAAGATGTGAGTAAGATGTGAGTAAGATGTGAGTAAGATGTGAGTAAGATGTGAGTAAGATGTGAGTAAGATGTGAGTAAGATGTGAGTAAGATGTGAGTAAGATGTGAGTAAGATGTGAGTAAGATGTGAGTAAGATGTGAGTAAGATGTGAGTAAGATGTGAGTAAGATGTGAGTAAGATGTGAGTAAGATGTGAGTAAGATGTGAGTAAGATGTGAGTAAGATGTGAGTAAGATGTGAGTAAGATGTGAGTAAGATGTGAGTAAGATGTGAGTAAGATGTGAGTAAGATGTGAGTAAGATGTGAGTAAGATGTGAGTAAGATGTGAGTAAGATGTGAGTAAGATGTGAGTAAGATGTGAGTAAGATGTGAGTAAGATGGGAGTAAGATGGAGTAAGATGTGAGTAAGATGTGAGTAAGATGTGAGTAAGATGTGAGTAAGATGTGAGTAAGATGTGAGTAAGATGTGAGTAAGATGTGAGTAGATGTGAGTAAGATGTGAGTAAGATGTGAGTAAGATGTGAGTAAGATGTGAGTAAGATGTGAGTAAGATGTGAGTAAGATGGGAGTAAGATGTGAGTAAGATGTGAGTAAGATGTGAGTAAGATGGGAGTAAGATGTGAGTAAGATGTGAGTAAGATGTGAGTAAGATGTGAGTAAGATGTGAGTAAGATGTGAGTAAGATGTGAGTAAGATGTGGAGTAAGATGTGAGTAAGATGTGAGTAAGATGTGAGTAAGATGTGAGTAAGATGTGAGTAAGATGTGAGTAAGATGTGAGTAAGATGTGAGTAAGATGTGAGTAAGATGTGAGTAAGATGTGAGTAAGATGTGAGTAAGATGTGAGTAAGATGTGAGGTAAGATGTGAGTAAGATGTGAGTAAGATGTGAGTAAGATGTGAGTAAGATGTGAGTAAGAGTGAGTAAGATGTGAGTAAGATGTGATGTGAGTAAGATGTGAGTAAGATGTGAGTAAGATGTGAGTAAGATGTGAGTAAGATGTGAGTAAGATGTGAGTAAGATGTGAGTAAGATGTGAGTAAGATGTGAGTAAGATGTGAGTAAGATGTGAGTAAGATGTGAGTAAGATGTGAGTAAGATGTGAGTAAGATGTGAGTAAGATGTGAGTAAGATGTGAGTAAGATGTGAGTAAGATGTGAGTAAGATGTGAGTAAGATGTGAGTAAGATGTGAGTAAGATGTGAGTAAGATGTGAGTAAGATGTGAGTAAGATGTGAGTAAGATGTGAGTAAGATGTGAGTAAGATGTGAGTAAGATGTGAGTAAGATGTGAGTAAGATGTGAGTAAGATGTGAGTAAGATGTGAGTAAGATGTGAGTAAGATGTGAGTAAGATGTGAGTAAGATGTGAGTAAGATGTGAGTAAGATGTGAGTAAGATGTGAGTAAGATGTGAGTAAGATGTGAGTAAGATGTGAGTAAGATGTGAGTAAGATGTGAGTAAGATGTGAGTAAGATGTGAGTAAGATGTGAGTAAGATGTGAGTAAGATGTGAGTAAGATGTGAGTAAGATGTGAGTAAGATGTGAGTAAGATGTGAGTAAGATGTGAGTAAGATGTGAGTAAGATGTGAGTAAGATTGTGAGTAAGATGTGAGTAAGATGTGAGTAAGATGTGAGTAAGATGTGAGTAAGATGTGAGTAAGATGTGAGTAAGATGTGAGTAAGATGTGAGTAAGATGTGAGTAAGATGTGAGTAAGATGTGAGTAAGATGTGAGTAAGATGTGAGTAAGATGTGAGTAAGATGTGAGTAAGATGTGAGTAAGATGTGAGTAAGATGTGAGTAATTGAGTAAGATGTGAGTAAGATGTGAGAAGATGTGAGTAAGATGTGAGTAAGATGTGAGTAAGATGTGAGTAAGATGTGAGTAAGATGTGAGTAAGATGTGAGTAAGATGTGAGTAAGATGTGAGTAAGATGTGAGTAAGATGTGAGTAAGATGTGAGTAAGATGTGAGTAAGATGTGAGTAAGATGTGAGTAAGATGTGAGTAAGATGTGAGTAAGATGTGAGTAAGATGTGAGTAAGATGTGAGTAAGATGTGAGTAAGATGTGAGTAAGATGTGAGTAAGATGTGGCAGGAGGATGAGCATGGGGAGCACTGACCCTCCTCCCCTCCTTCTCCGCCTCTGCCTCCTCCTTCCTCTCCTCGCTCTCCCCCTTGCCCCTCACCTTCTCCATCTTCCCGACCACCTGCATTCACTGACTGCTCTGCCCCATGATTTGTGCCTCCTCTTTCACCTCCCGGGGCTGGTGCTTGAGATGCACCACCTGGGGTTGCCACATCAGCAGCTCGATCCGCCACGTCAGCATTCCTGCCTACATCAGCAGATGGCATCACGAAACGATGCCCCACACGAGACGGCGACGGCAGAAGCTGTTTGGCAGGAAAATGCAGGCGAAAGGGAGACACAGGAAGGGACAGATTCATATGAACACCAGAGGCGAGCCTTGGTGAGAATTCGAGGTGAAAATGCTGCGTCTTCGAGACTCGACCACCTAGGTCGAATGCAAGGGCGAAAGCATGCGTTCAAAAGGCGGGCCTGGGTCAACTCAACAGGCCCGAGTCCCACGGCATACGCACCGAGAGGATGGAGAGCAGGAGGCGGTGGAAGGCTGCCTGGGAGGCCACGAGGTGGGCGCCCGGAAGCAGCAGCGAGCGTGCAAGGCGCGTGAGGGCGCGCGTGAGCTCTGAGAAGCGCTGCCTCACTGTGGCTGGCGGGACTGCCATGGCTGCGCACAGCTCCCCCTCCCCCAGTACCACCCCCCTCGCCCCCGCCACCAGCAGCAGCGCCGCCGCTGCTATCTGGGAGGACGGGGAGGGTGGGAGGATGGAGGGGGAGGGTGGGAGGATGGAGGGGTCCATGGGATGGGAGGGAGGAGGAGGAGAGGGAGGTGTGGGTTGAGATGGGCAGGAAGTGGAGGAGACAACCCTCAAGGAGAAAGCACATGGACGTGGGTCGACGTGATGATGGTAGAGCGCAGCGGAGCAGGAAGTGACGCAAGACAGCATGGGAGAGGGGACGTACCGGGGCGGCATGGCGGCCGGTGTGCAGAGAGAGGGAGTGAGCGAAGGTGAGCAGCCTCATGGCGTCCCCCACTATCGCCTGCCTCCCGCCCTCGCCCTGCCACTCCTGTGCTTGCGATGCCGTGCCGTGACATGCGATGCCGTGCCGTGACATGCGATGCCGTGCCGTGACATGCGATGCCGTGCCGTGACATGCGATGCCGTGCCGTGACATGCGATGCCGTGCCATGACATGAAAAATAAAGCAGCAGAATGTATGGGTGTGTGAGTGGAACTATGAGCTCGAACTTTCTGAGAGTGACACGGCAAACTAGAAACATATCAAGCTGCATATGGCATTACTGCATGGCACACCCACACGCACATACATTAGTGCTGCACACATGCACGATACATCCAGTGCTGCACACACGCACATACCCTCAGTGCAGGCATGGCATGCACCGCCCTCCACACATGGCTGACTGGATCCACCTGCTCCGGCTGCACACACACACACACACACATGGTGGGGTGGCGTGGCAGGAGATTATTACAAGTCAAAGCTGTGTGCACAATCAAGATTGTGGTCACAATTGAGAGCAGAGGCAGGCGAAGAGAGAACGACAACGACATACCTGCAGCATGGGGAAGTAGGCCATGATGCGCTTGAACATGGCCCACACCGCCGCCAGCTCACAGTCCGTCGCGTGCTGTGGGGAGGCCGCGCGGGGAGGTGCGGGGAGGGGAGGGGTGAGGAGCGCAGATGAGACCAAGAAGAGAAAAGGGAACATGAAAGAGGAAAAGAGAGAATCAACTCACCGCCACCTCTGCACAGCACACTCACCGCCACCTCTGCACAGCACACACTCACCGCCACTTCCCCCATGGACACGGGCAGGCGCCTGTTGCGCGCAGCGATGTAGACCGCGGCCGCCATGAGCACGTTCATCCACTGCCCCGAGCCCCACCGCCCCTCCAGCACCCGCTCCGCCACCCCCACCGCGTCCCCCCTCACGCCCTCTGGTACGCGCAGCCCCGCCACCACTGCGCCCAGCCGCTCCTCCCACTCGCGCTGGCGCAGGCGGAGGCGCAAGCACAAGGGGAAGGGGAAATCGCAGGGGAGGGGCGGAAGGGCAGGAGAGGGGCAGACGGTGGTGAACGAGAAGGGATGAGGGAAGGGTGGGTGCGGGAGGTGGCAGGCGAGAGAGGCTATTGTGAGCGTGAGAATGAGGTGGTGTTGGAACCCCTCGGAGCATCTGAGCATACGCCTGCAGGTTCACCCTGAGAAGTCAGCAGTCGCGATCAAACGGACAACTCTAGAAAATTGCGCTCCCCTACAACCTTCCCTCAGACGGAGGTCACCTAGATGTAACCACGGGATGTCAACCCCCAACAAGCCCCAAACAGTTGTTTGTCAGGTGTTCTGTGTTACAAACAAAAGGAAGTTACTGTCGCGGATGATTTTCGCAGGGTCAAAATTTCGAACCCTGTGGGCCAATGGCGTGACGCTGATGTGGAAGATGCTGGTGAGTTCTGGGGATGTTGGGGGTTGCCTCGGGACGTGCACCTCATGTATCATCGCAGGCTACATGGAGGGGGAGTGGTGGCCCGCTAGGTAACCTTGTCTGACACCCCCAGGTAACCTCCCCCGAGCATACCTAGGGGTAACATTGAGTGGAGTTTGAGGGAAGATTCTGGGGGGTCAAATTTTCTAGATTAAAAGTGCAGCATAGGACCAGCGGAGTCACACCTTGTTCTTCCGCCTCTTGAACTCCGCCGACTTCCCTCCGCCTCCCCACTTCGTCTCCGCCCCCTCCCCCCACCCGCCGCCGCCAAATCGCCCCCCGCCCGCCCCCGCTGTCCACATCCACGAGCGGGGTTCTCCGCCATCCCCCCCGCCTCCCCCGCCGCCAACGCGCACGCCGCCGGCCCGCCCGAGCTCGTCGAACTCCACGCGCGACGTGAGCTGCGCCTCGTCCGCCACGTGGCCGCATCGCGCGCACACGAGCGCCAGCGCCTGGTCATCGTAATCCACGGCGCGCTCCCCGCACTGCGCGCACTCCTCCATCCTTGCGCCCCAGCGCCTCCTGCGCGTCTAGCCCTTCCAGTACCTCTGCGGCCCGCACTCGCTGCGGTTTGGCAATAGTTAACTCGGCCAACACTGGGAGTTTGGTTTGGATGCAGGGAGGAGGGAATACCTGTGATTGCAGAAAACAAAATGTTGGAGAGCGTGGATGTTGTTGGAGACAAAATATTATTTGTTGGAAATATTTGGCATAACTAAATGTAAATAAATTGCAAAATTTCGCAGCTGCTAGATTTGTCAGAGATTGTAGTACTGTAACGCGGATGAGGAATCCAACCGAAGCATCACACCGACCACAGATTTCCGTCCTTCCGCTTGCTCCATCGCTCTGCACCACACGTTTAGATTCCAGCCGTCCATTGTTGAATTCGGTCTCAGAACCAGGACTTGACTTCTGCTTCCAGCAACGCAAACCCGTTCATGCTTGACTCGCTTCCGCGCAACTTTTACTCTTAGGGCGACGTCAGGTTATACATTTTTCATGGGTTTACAGTTCTTGTATCGTGGTTCAGAACGGTCCAACATGGTGAAAAGCGGTTCTCAAAGTTTACCGCTCTGCACCGTGTTGAAACGAAGTTAACCGCAGTGGGCGTACAAAAAGTTGTACAACCTGACGTCGCCCTTATCCTAATACTTACCTTAACCCGCTCTAGCAGTACCCCATGTCTCTCTACGATCGCAGCGCACTAGATCCGCCGCAGTTGGCGGCGGATTCCTCGCAGGCCGACACGAGCAGCGATGCTCCCAGCAGCGACTCTCGCAGCGCCTCGTTCGACACCCCCGAGGCCCGACGGGTCGACGAGATTGCGGAGCTGGCGAGCCGCATTGCAGCGAGTGGCGATGCGGAGACATCCGTCCCTTCCGCTCCAAGGGGGGATACGGGCGACGCGCGTAACGGTTCGCCATCTAGTGACCGTGCGACAGGAGAGAATGCTCCGGCGAACGATCAACAGAGACCAACGAGGCGACGGGGAGGTTGGCTCGCAGCCGTCGCAGGGGTGCTCGTGCGCTCCCCGCTCGGGGCTCTCTGTCGCACCCTGGGTCGCTCGGTCCGTCGCACAGTCGCCCGCGATGGCGCTTTGAGCGTCGCCCTGAGTCGATCCGTCGGCGGGGCCTTGAGATTGTCGCACGCGGTGACGTGGTTCGCGGTGCGAGTAGTGGCGGTTAAATTGCTACGGAAGCCTGTACGCGCTATAGGCCCGCCGCTACTGTGGCCCGCGCTGCACGTAGTGGCAATAATGCACCTGGAGGCGCGACTCAGTGGGGGGAAGGGTGGCGGAAGGGCAGGGGGAGGGGGAACGGTAGGGGGAGAGTTGGTGGCGGGAAGGGGAGCGGGGGGAGAAGAGGAGGCGGAAACGTTGCTGAGGGAAATCGGGGGACCGTTGGAGATGGTTGGTCGTGTTGTGACGGTGACACGTGGCGGGACGTGGATGATCATGGAGGTAAGCGGTGCGAAGTGTGTGAGCCTGGGTTGCTTGCAAGGGCATGGGGTGGGAAAAAGGGAGAAGTGCGGTAGGAGGAAGGGATTTGGGATTGCATGTGGAACGCTGGGATACGATGTGGGGATGAAGCGACGTAACGAGGAATGCAGGAGGATTGGAACAGCGTTACTGTTGCTCGCATGTCTGCTGCTCCCTCCCAATCTCATCCCCCCTCCTTTCTCCCTCCCTCCCTCCCTGCGTCCTGCCACCGCACAGACGTTCGCCGCGCCTCTCCTCGTCTCCACGCTTTCCGCCCTCCTGCCCTTCCTCCTCCCGGCCCGCCCCTCCTCCCGCGCGCCCCCCAAGGATCCTCCGCACATGCTCCCACCCCCGGTCGAGCCACGCCCTTCCCTCTCAGCAGCACGCGCAGCAGCGCGCGCATCAGCGCGAGCAGCGGCGGCAGCAGCGGTAGCGGCATCACCAGAAGGGGCTGGATCAGTGGCAGGGGCTTCGTCAGTGTCAGACTACTCACTCGACGGCTCTCCTGCTGCGTCTGACACGGCATCATCAGCATCCCCTCCCTCCTCTCGCCCTTCCACTCCTCCTCCCCGTGCTGCTGTCCTTCCCGCCCTCCCTTCCCCGCCCTCGCCCGTGCTCTCTCCTGCTGACCAAGTTCTGATCCAAGACGTGCGATCGGCGCTCGAAGATGCTGACGTGGACACGCAGGATTGGTGAGAGAGCAGTCCAGTCAAGTGTGTTGCAAATCAGGTGTTTCTGAGAAGGTTCTCAAGCGTCCTTCCAGTGTGTGCGTGCCTTGCTTGCTGCTCTGCTTCACAGCACCGCCATCCAGAGCTCATAACATCTGTGCTCAAGCCGTGCTTGCTCAACCTGTGTTGCCTTTTCCCCCTCCCCATGCACTCACCCGCCAACCCCTCCAACTCCCGTTCCTTCATGCTCCCCCTTCCCGCACCCTCCCTCATGCCCCGCCCTCACTTCTGCGCCCTCTCCTCCACATGCTCTTCTTCCGTACCCTTTCCCCCGCACCCCCCCCTCCCACACCCTCCCCCGCGCCCTCTCCCCCCTCCTTCCCCCCGGCAGGCTGACAGACGACACAGTGCTGCGCTATGCAGTGCCAGGCAAGCGCCACGTGGCAACAATGGTGAACCGCATCCGCGCCACTGCCACGTGGCGCCGCTCCTTCCGCCTCCTCGCACCTGCCGAGGTGCTCTGCTCCCCCTGGCGCCCCTTCGGCTACTGGCACGGCGCGGACGTGGACGGCAGGCCTTGTCTTGTTCTGCATCTGGGACGGGCGGCTAGGGCCATTCCGTCTGCCTCGCATGCCGACTTTGTCTGCTATCTTGGTGAGCCGCCCTTCCCCTCTTCACGCCCCTCCTGCCTTCATGCCCTTCCCTTCCCTCGCTCGCCTCCTCCCAGCCCCAGCCACAACCCCAGACAGTCCCCTATTATTGCATCCGTATGAGAGAGCCACACCATCATCACCACAATACTCTACCCCCTCCCTCCTCCATTCTCTCCCTCCCATTGCTCCCCCCTCAGTCCATCCCTTCCCCCGGCTCCTCCACCATCCCGAGTGGGCGCCGTGGCAGCAGCGCTCACCCTCTCATCCCTCGACCGCGGGCGCATCTTTGTCATCACAATAATCAAACTTCGTACCCCCTCCCTGCCCCTCTCCCTGTTCCCCCTCCTCCCACATTTCTCTCAGCGTCCCTAGTGAGCGCAGTAGCAGCAGCGCTCACCCTGGCATGCCCTGACAGCGGGCGCATCGCCGTCATCCTGGACTGCCAGGGCGCGCCTGCCCTGTGGCACCTGCCCGTGGGGCTGCTGCACGCCACCATCACCGCTCTGCACCGCAACTTCCCGCACCGCATGGCGCGCCTGCACGTGCTGCACCTGCCGCCCGCTCTGCGCCTCCTGGCTCGCGCCATGCTGCAGGTGAGGGGGTGGAGGGGTGCTGTGGGTGGGGAGAGGGGTAATGCAAATGGGGGGTCCTGCAGGTGGGGAAAGGGGGGATGCTGCTGGGGATGCTGGTGGGGACGCCTGTGACATTTGAACCCCATTTCGTGTGATGATGAGTCAGTTGGGCTGGCCCGCTGTTCTCCCATTCAGCCCACGTGCTCTCTCTCATCTCTCCCCCCCTTTTTGTGCGCGTTCCCTCTTGCTCCCCTCCCACCTCTCCCCACATCACCTCCAGCTGCTGAGCCCAGGCACACGCAGCAAGATACAGATCATCGGTGGCGGAACTTCTGCCACGTCATCACTCTCCGATCTCTTCGGGCTCCAACTCAGCGTGCCAGCTAGGCTGGCAGGCGGCTGCATATGCGCAGTGTGCTGCGAGGAAGAAGCAGAGGGAGAGGCGGAGGGGAGCAGCGGAGAAGCAGGAGCTGTGGCAGAGGCAGGAGGAGCAGCAGAGGCAGGAGGAGCAGCAGAGGGTGCTTCAGCAGGAGCAGAGGCAGCCAGAGACCCAACATTATCTGGCCGTTCAAACTCGCTGGAGCATCCTTGTAATGGCGTAACCCCATCCACCACCTACCTCTCTTCACCCTTGCTACCCTCCACCCCTCAGCAACGCTCCCCCCAGCAGTCACCACCCATGCATGCGTCACCCCAGCAAGCCTCCCCTATACGTCCCCGGACTCCCCGTCGCAGCTCCCCCCTTATCTGTGCTCTACGCTCGGGCAAAGGGCGGGCGGTGTCGCAGGGGGTGGAGTGGGCAGAGAGGCGGTGGGTGAGCCGGAACGTGGTGTGGAGCATGCTGGTGCTGCTCATGGCGCTCACTCTTGCTGCCCTCTGCATCTGCTCCGCTGCAGCCATGGCTGAATACTTTGATCCATCTGCCAGCAATTTGCTTGTATAATATTACGGTCGAGTGTATAGTCACATGCTGTGGTGTGGAGTGGGTGGAGGTATTATTTGATACTGGCACATTTGAGTTGGTGAAACCGTACTGACTAAACTAGATGATGACTTTTCTGGTAAGGTGGGGTTTAATCCGCATGGAAATCGAATTCTAATACTGCCACAGAATGGACAGCGCAATGGTTAATGCTATGCACACACGGAAGAGATCAAACCTCATGCTTTCATGTGCCAGCAGCGGTAGACCCACCTGTGAAAAAAACATACACAAAATCTAATGTTCATGTACGAGGTTATGCTTTTGTAGGTCTATACATTTTTTTGTAAGAGATTGGGAATATTCTCTGCAGCAAGTGATGTGTCTCGATTCCCTGCACATTTGGACGCGGCTTGCCATGTCATTCAGTCAGCCAACTTTTGATTCACCCGCAACGCAAATCAACACTCAAGCTCATCATTCATCACCCACAGAGACCTTTGAGTCTTTCTTTATCAACGACCTTGGGCTCTCATTCCTCATTCATCATCGACCTTGAGCTTTTGTTTATTCCGAAGACCTCGCGTTTTCACCCATTCACTTTCGACTCTCCCATTGCCTGGCTTGCTGCAGATCACAGCAACCCCTTTCGAGCATTCATAGCCTCTCCCTCATCGCACCATCTTATGATCTAGTGTGTCGCGTCGCGTAATTCGTATCGGCACAAGCAGAGATCGCATGTGGGCTTACTAAAATCAGGCCGAACGACAGCAATTATCATCTCCTTCTTTTCGCTGCGCCGGTTCCGCCTAGTTTCTTCGCACTTTCCGCTGCGTCGAAGCGATCACTAAAATACAGCACACCGACCGCACACGGATTCCTCTCTGGTTACCAACGATCACAATCAAACCAATTATACGCTGACTGCACGCGGCATGGCCGCGTCATCGCATCGCTCGTCAATCGCAACCACCATTATCCACAGCCCCGTGTTGCATCTTCTTTTACTACTCATAATCTTCATGCTCCGATCCTCCTCAGCTTCGTCAGCCGAATCCCCTGTCGGCAATGATGCGGCAAATCCTTCTCATTCAAGCATAGCCGCTGCCGCTGTAGCCGCAGAATTAGGAGAAAGTGTAGGCACAGGCCTGGGTTTGGGACTGGAAGCAGCCGCAGGGGTAGTGCCGGATCAGTTCGTTTCGACGGATGACCTTCCTGCGGCGAACGGAGCGGCAAACGCGGCGACAGGCGCAGCGAGGCCGGAGGGTTTCAACCCGAAATTAGCGGGAATTGAGGAGGAGGAGCGGATGGTGAACGAGCTGCTGACGTGGCTGGAGGAGAGAGGCGTGAAAGGGATTAGAGACGACGACGCGGCAATTAAGGTGAGGTGAAGTATGACGAGCATACGTCTTTGGATGGTTGGCGGTGTCCTGAATGAAAGCGTTGCAAAAAGTAAGCTATACCAGGAAATGATAACGGCTTCGAACGATTGACTGAGCCGAAAAACGAGTGGAAAGGTGTCGAATGGTTGGCAATGACTAAACGATTGACGTTTCTCTTGTCAGGAAATCGACCAATCCTCTCACTGAACCAATCCTGTGCAAACCATTTGCACGCGTGCAGGTATTCATTGACGCCAACACTACACTCAAGGCGTCCGGCAGGTCAAGGTGAGCCAAGTCAGATCAATTTGACACAAACTAACTGAAAACATACGAGGGCTCGTTGCAGTTTGTAATTCTCCAAAGAATGGTTGTTGCCCACTTTCAATTCAATGTCCTGTACCTTGCCCTTCTTCCCAGCACATCTTTCCCAGTTAGTCTTCCCATCCTTCCTTTTTCCATTGAACCGTATAAAGTAAGCACTCCGTACCCCCACCTTGCCTACCACCCCATCCGCCACCCCCCATCCTCCTCCCCCTCCTCTTCCCCCTTTCCTCCCCCTCCTCACCCACCGGCAGAGCGAACCTCCGCATGGTGGCGCGGCGCCCCATCGCGGAGGGCGAGGCGTTTCTGTCGCTGCCTCGCTCGCTCGCCCTCACTGAATCTCACGCGCAGGAAGAGGCAAAGCCGTACGAGGGGGAGGTGAGTGACCCGCCTATCAGCAAACGCAGTAGCACCAACCCAAAAAACGACCAAATAAAGGACTGGACAACTAGACAACGCACCATCTCTTAACGGCCATCCCCCACGCAGTATCCCTTCCCTTTAAGTGCATCCAGTCCCTGTCTTCATCCCCCTAAACACAAATCCACCCGTCACCCCCTCCTCCCCGCACACACCGCCAGGTGCATCACCCTTCACCCGTACCTCCCCTGCCCCCCCCTTCCCCCCAGGTGCGCCCGTTCACGGCGCTGGCGGCCGTTCCCCTCCCCTCAACAGCTCTGCCTTTCCCATCCCCCCACTCCGCCCAGGTGCACCCATTCTCGGCGCTGGCAGCCATTCCCCCTCCCCCCCCCCCTCAGTATCTCTGCCTTTCTCCCCCCTTCTTCCCCCCCAGGTGCACCCATTCACGGCCCTGGCGGCGTGGGTGCTGAGGGAGCGGGGCAAGGGGCGCGCGTCCCTGTGGGCGCCCTTCGTGCGCCTGCTGCCCGCCCACCTGCCCTTCCCCCACCTCTTCTCCGACCGGCTTCGCACAGAGCTCCAATCACAATCGCTGCTCTTAGCCGTGAGCATCAACTCCCAACCACTGCCCTGTCTCCTATTGTGTTCCATCCATCCAAATCATCTCTCTGATGCCGTGCGCGTCATGTGGTGAGTGTGTCTCACCCAATCCCTTGTCCCCAATTCCATCTCAACCAACCCATATCTCCTCAATTGTGCCTCACCCAAGCCCGTCTCAATTTCTTCTCTACAACGTGTGCCACAGACCGCAGAGCACAAGCGGATGCTGTCAGAAGAGTACAAAAAGTGCCGGCCAGAGGCCATAGCGAATGCAAGAGAGGAGGAGTTCCTGTGGGCGGTGGGCATGGTCACGTCGCGTATGTTCACACTCCCTACAAGCAACAGCACTGCCAGCGGCGATGGCAGTGCCAGCAGTGATGGCAATGCGGCCAACAGCAACAGCAGCAGCAGCAGCGCCAGCAACGGCAGTGAGACAGTGCTCTTTCCCTATGCGGACCTCTTTGACACGGACAACGACCCCGTCGCCATGTGGCTGGTGGGTGCCATGTGCAAGCCGTTTTGAACTGGTTGTCAGCGAGTCAGCATGTCCCATTCAGTGCTCCTTTACTCCCTAGCCTCTTCGTCTTGCCCTGCACTCACCACCACAGCCGTAGCCCTCCTCAAACCCTTGCAATTGCGTGTTGCCCAACCCTCCGTTGCCAATCCCTTGGCCCTCTGCTCCTCTCCTCTCTCTGTCTCTCTCACCCCTCCTCATCCCCACTAACCTCTCCTCCCCTCGACCAGGCCAACGGCACGCACATCACCTTCACAGCCACGGCCAACATCTCACCAGGCCAGCACGTGAGTGTGGAGTCGGGGCTGCTGGTGAACGACAAGCCACTACCTTTCCGCACCATGACCCTTTTCTTCCTCCCCCTGCCCCCTCCCCCCTCCTCCCCTTCCACCAGGCCAACGACACGCACATCACATTCACAGCCACGGCCAACATCTCTGCAGGGCAGCACGTGAGCGTGGAGTCCGGGCTGCTGGCGAACGACGAGGCGCTGCTGACCCGCGGCATGGCGCTGCAGACCAACTACCGTGACAGCGCGGACGTGTTTGAATTCCCCGAGGCCGCCATCGACTTCTTCGGCCGGCACTATTTTCGGACGCACTGGGAGTCATTCATGGAGGTACGTATGGTGCTGGCGGTGGGGAGAATGCAGGTAAGGTTGGGGGGGTGCATGGCTCTGGGCACCCACTACCAGGACAGCGTGGTGTCGACGTGTTTGCTTTCCCCGAGGTGGCCATCGACTTCTTCGGCCGCCACTACTTGAGAACGCACTGGGAGTCGTTCATGGAGGTACGGTTCTGAGGGGGTTGGAGGTATGGCAATGGGAGGCCATGGAGGTATGGCAGAGGGGTTTGGCAGTGGGAAGGCATGGAGGTATGGAGTTTGGCGTTCACTTGGTGGATACGGCGCTGTTTCCACCTGTCTGCCTTTCTCTCTTGTCCCTTGGGCCCGAAGCTTCCTCAGATGTTCTCTTCACCTGTCCTCGGTTGTAGATTGATCCCCATTGTCCCTTTCTGCCTGAATGCATATCTCATGCTATTCTCCCTCTTCCTCACGTGGCATGCATGCAGACTGACGTGGAGCAGGTCTTTGCTGACATGGAAAAGGCACTCAAGGTCGAGGTGACCAAGGACTGGTACAAGGGCATACCGGACGAGCCTGAGTTCAGGATTGATACACAGGCGAGCCTGAGAGTTTGGTTCGGTGGGAGGCTCGATCCGAGGCTGTTGGGAGGTCTGGCAGCCCTGCATGCGCACGTGATGAACAAGGAAGGTGAGATCCGTCCCACGCCTCCCTCCCTTCCTCAGCCCACCTCCCTTTCCGTCACTTCATGCCTCCTCTTCTACCCTCATCTGCCCCCTTTCCAACCTTGGACTGTGGTTATCTGGTTCGCTGAGTAGCAGAGCACAGCTCACTGCCTCCTATACTGCCTTCCTGCTGCCCGTCCCCCCCTCTCCCCCCTCTATTCCTCTTCCCCCTCTCGTCCTCTTCTTCTCTCTTCCTCTTCCCACAGCCCCTGACTATGCAGCACTGGCGCGGCCGGCAGTGGAGTACTCATGGCTGAAGGAACCCAAGACCACGTGTGACGACTACGCCGCCTCGCTCCCCGACAACCTCGGGGACTCCATCCCCGCAGCAGGCACAGGCATTCTGGAGCGCGCCAGGCAGATGCTGCAGGCCATGGGGACGTCACGGGAGGGGGACCTGCAGCGCATGTATGTGGTGCAGGCGTGCAAGGTGCAGGTGCTGTACGGCACCTACCCTGGGGACAAGCCGCTCATGTGCCCGCCTGATTTTGTGCGCGAGTTGCCGGACTGGGAAGCGGCTTTGGCTTACAGGCTTTCAAAGAAAGAGGTGCTGTCGCATGTGATTGCCCGCCTCACAGCCACATGCGATGCTTAGTGCTGCGCAAGAGGATTTAGATTTCTGGTACCGGTATATATCCTTGTGCATTACTGCTGGAATATGTAGCTGTTGCTGCACGAACAACCTCGTTCAACAAAGAGCTGGAAGCGCTGCACATGAATACCAGAGATTTCATCTGATAATCACAGCAGCCCTTATAAGCCAACGCACCCAACTCTTCAAGAGACGACACAATAATGCCACATGTATCTACACAAGTGCAGTTACCCTGGTCAGCCATTGATGGCTTGTGTTAAACCAGGGATGGACGCTGGCAGTTGCTCCATGAGCTCCTTGAAATTGCTCTGCACCTCCCTCATCTGCTTCTCCAGATACTTCTTTGACCCCTGCGATGCAACGCACACAGAGGAAGCAAGAAAGGCAAGGCGCCATCTCAATGTGGGGGCAACTTGGGAATGTGGGGAATGTGAGGCGTCATGAGGAGATGACAGACACGCACGCGTGAAGGGTGTGGGAGTGAAGGGTGTGGGAGTGAAGGCGGTGGGAGGGTAAACAGTGTGGGAGATGCGGACCTGCAGGGACGCAATGGTGGCCTCGGCCTCTTTGATCTTCCCTTCCTCCGTTGCCCTCGCCGCTTTCTAGTGGCTGCAGCACAACCCTGGTTATGGGGTGAGCCAGTGGGAGCATGCGGATATGCTGAGTGGATGAAGAGATGCGATCCTCAGGAACCTGGATGGCATGGTACATGCGGGTGCAAGGCCGGCGGCTACTTGCAGTGCCCTGAAGCGATGCCAACATGAAGGCGAGGCGAGGATAGGGGCATGGGACTGACTTTCAGTGAGAGACGAGAAGAGGAGCAGGGCGGGATGGAGGGGTGGAGGAAAAGAGATGATAGAGTCACGTGTAAAAAGCAGTGAATCTTTATGCTGACTTACGCTCTTCCTGAGATTATGAATGGAGAAGGAGGCATTTCACGGGTTGATGCAACACCGGACGAGAAAGTCCACAAGCACCGAGTGAGTACCATGCACGAGGAAGCAACCAACGGGACAGGGAAAGAGGAGAAATGAGAAGGATCGGAAAGAAGGAGAAATCCTCCAAACTTAAGCTATTTCTGCCTCACGGCTAATCTAAACCGTCTTGGTTTCTCTACACCGCTGCACTGTCTCTGCTCACACTCACCAATGCTTTGATACACATTCGTCTCTGCGGACAGCTCTTGAAGCTCGTCCAGGGTCGTTCTGGCCGTGAAAACGTCCACCTCGCACGCCTTCTCCTGCCCTAGCACCTGCGCGAGGAGGGAGATGACGAGTGATGAAAGAGAGCAGCACTGGTAGCGGCGCCATTGGGCCTGTGTGAGCCGCTTAGATGCTTCATCGTACCCATGAAAGAATACTTACCCACATCCCCAACCTGCAGCAACATCTCCCCCCTCTTTCCTTCTCTTGCTACACCCAATCCCACTTCTCCACCTTCGCTGCTGTTCATTCCATCCCACCTGCTTCTGCCGCCTGCCCTGCACACCCCGCCCTCACCTGCTTTAGCTTGCTGTCCGTCTCCACGAGTCGGCCTTGCAGCCCCACGAACGCGTGCGGACAAGGATATTGAGCCGACGCAGAAGTCATCCCCCACCCTCACCTGCCCCACCCTCACCTGCCCCACCCTCACCTGCCCCACCCTCACCTGCTTCAGCTTGCTATCCGTCTCCACGAGTCGCCCTTGCAGCTCCACGAACGCCTGGAGTCAAGGAATGTTGACGAATGAGAGGTGGCAGTTGCAAGAGGTAGGGATACATAAGCGATGGCGATGTGAAGAGGGTTGCTAATGGGAGATGTTCGACGGAGAGCGGATGAGTGGAAAGGAAAGAAGGATACCACGGAAGTAGTAACGGGCGGTTACGCTGAGCTTGGAGGGGAGAGGAGTGGGTACGAGGAGCGGGTGAGAGAGCAATGACGAACTGGGAGCGGATGGAACGGCGCACAATAGCACATCCATACAACGCGGAGCAAATCAGAGATGCCAGGATAGCGCGAGATGGCGAATCTGCCTATCAGTGACTGCCAATGATACAGCATCCTAGAGTTTACTCAAAGATTGACACGTCGTCTGCTGGTTTTCAAGGCGCATTTCGAGTGCTCACCTCGCGAGTCGCCTCTGTAGCCATACCGCTGCTCAAAAGAGCCCGTGCGGATTTCCTTTTGAAAACGGATGCTTCGTCTGCAAAAGCTACGGTCAGTCACGTTTCACGCGATCGTCCTTTGCACTAACGGAAAGAATGCTGCGGAATGATATGTTTAAGAACACGTGCGAAGGACACGATCTGGTCTGTGGAATGAGAAAGTTCTGCGAGCTTGGCGTCAAGTCTCGATTCACGCTGAAAATGGCGGAGGGTACGGCGGAGCCTGTACAATTTGTGCGAGGACGTGCGAGGTTCGCCAACTTCGCCAGTGTCAAGGAAATCACATCCCAGGTGTACCACCACCCATCCTCACCCTATCTAAACCCCTAACACCACTCATTCACCCCCCTCTTCCCTGCTCCCGTCATCTTTTTGAACTCCAATCCCTGTGTTTCCAAGGAAATGTTTACCACCCCTGACTCATCACTCCTTCCCAGTCATTCTAGTGAGGCAGCAAAAAGGTCATAGATGATTGACTCCAACTCTTGATACTGGGTGCTACGGGAACGCCAATTTCGTCGCCGCCTTTTCTTAATCCAGTCTGTGCTTTGTCCTATCTGTGCCTTGTCCTGTCTTCTTGGTGGGACTCATAGGCCAAATAGGTTAATCCATTAATATAAGATAAAAGAACATGGATCCTTTGTCGGTTTTGCGTGAATACACCATGCGAAACGAGCTGGATAGGGTTACCATCGTCAGCGACGACTGTTGTTTCGGCAATGAGTACCGATTCCCTCGCGCCGTCGAAACGGCGTACCGGCGGCGCGGCGGTGACCGTTACAACCTGGAGTCGCTGCTGCTGTTCGTGCAGTGCAAGGCGGTCAAGCACACGGAGTATATGCAGCGAGCGCGCGCGCAAACCCTGCAGATCGTCACCTTCACGGATCGCAAGCCGCTCCTGGTGTGCCTGCCTCGTCCTTCCCTTCTCTCCCTCGCGGTTTCCACGCATCTCGAATTCTCACATTTCCTGCCTACTACCGCTGGGATTCGTCGGATAAAGGATCGTTCTACCGCCTGTCTCCGGCTGAGCTCCACATTTCCCCTCACCCCCACCCTCCACCTCCCTCCACTCCCCCTCTCTGCCCTCCCCCTTTCCCCCTCCCCACTCCTCTCCCCCGTGCCAGGAGTATCTAGAAGGCCATCTGCAGACCACGGACGCCATCGATCTCATCGCGCCTATCGGCCTTCCCCCCTCCGCTCCGCCTTCCGCCGCGCCCCCCGCGTCCATCCCCTCTTCCGGAGCCGCCACGTCAGCAGCTCCCGGTGGTTTAGGGCAAGGCGCGCATGGCTCCACGTCAGCAGCGGTAGATGGTGCCACGGGGCCAGGAGGTTTGGGAGCAGCCGAGGCTGGGGATCAGGCTCGGAAGAGGAGCAGATGGGATACGGACAAAAGGGCCAGCGGGGCTGGGGGAGACGCGGGAGCAGCAGGCGCAGACGGCGGGGGAGCGGGGGGATATGACGTGTACGGCAAGAGGCAGAGGGGAGAAGGATCGCAGGCAGGCCTAGGCACGGGAAGAGGCATAGCCTATCACTCAGAAGCTGTCCCTGGGATGGCCGCTGCAGGACTGACTGTAGGAGGGCTGGGACTGGGAGGCGGGGGGATGAGCGAGGAGGAGGAGAGGGAGGCGATCAGAGAGCTGATCAAGCGAGAGAGGCCGGTGAGGGACCGGGAGACGGTGCTGCTGTGCCCTCGCAAGAAGGACGCGTTTGCGTCGGTGCTGGCCATGCTGAACCGCCGCGAGCACGAGCGGAAGAAGCTGGACGTGGCGCATAGGGAGGCCTCCAAACGCGGCCACCCGCCCGCCCCCTCCTCCGCCCGCCCCTCCAGGGACGCGCGGGGAGGAGGCGCGGGCGCTGGTGCTGCTGGTGGCGGGGGCGGGGGAGGGGGAGGGGGGCGGCAGGACGAGAGGCAGGTGTGGCGGGACTACATGGGGACTGATGCACTGGAGGAGCTGGGAATCAACCCCACCCAGTCCTCGTACGTTCAGCCCGGCAGAGGGGGAAGTGGTGGTGCTGCTGGTAGCGGTGCTGCTGGTGGTGGTGGCAGTGGGTCAGGTGCTCTAGTTGTCGCCTCCCAGGGGAAGCCAGAGGGGCAGCACAGCCGATCTCAGCCGTCCAACCCGCCTCCATCCTCCCGCCACGCGCGCCCTCATGGCAACCCGGCCCACCAATCCCAACACAAACAGCACGGCAGCTCTGGCGGCGGCAGCGGCAGTGGCAGCGCAGCAGCAGCGGCAGGAGGGAGCCTGGTGCCGATCATCCTAGTGCCCAGCGCAGCTCAGACGCTGATAAACATTTTCAACGTGAAAGATTTTCTCGAGGACGGAGCGTACGTGCCTGCGGAGGAGAAGGCGAAAGCAGCGGGGGGGAAGCGGCCCGAGATGGTGGCGGTGCAGCGGCGGATGGGGCGGGACAAGGCGGTGGTATACCACGTGAGGGACCGGCCCGAGGGGCTGTCGAAACGGGTGCGTAATTCCGCTCAGTGCTCTGCGTGTTCTGCTTGTGACGGTAATTATTGGTTAGAGCGTACATGTGCATGGGTGTTGGATTTCTCCAAAGCTCGGTTGTTGGTCAACCCCCTTGCCTCGGCTCGGCCTTCTCACAGCGTGCCATGCAGTGCTGCTGGCTGTGCCACTGTCATTCATCTTCCTGCCCGCATGTGCACCATGGCCTGCCCCCTTGTCCCGCATGCCCCACCTGAGCAGGACTGGGACCGGGTAGCAGCGGTGTTTGTGCTGGGCAAGGAGTGGCAGTTCAAGGGCTGGCCCTTCAAGGAGTCTATGCTCAAGGCACCTCAAACACATGCATGGCTTGACTTGCCCCCATGTCCCCCATGCATGGCTTGCCCCCATGTCCCCCATGCATGGCTTGCCCCCATGTCCCCCATGCATGGCTTGCCCCCATGTCCCCCATGCATGGCTTGCCCCCATGTCCCCCATGCATGGCCTGCCCCCATGTCCCCCATGCATGGCTTGCCCCCATGTCCCCCATGCATGGCTTGCCCCCATGTCCCCCATGCATGGCTTGCCCCCATGTCCCCCATGCATGGCTTGCCCCCATGTCCCCCATGCATGGCTTGCCCCCATGTCCCCCATGCATGGCATTGCCCCCATGTCCCCCATGCATGGCTTGCCCCCATGTCCCCCATGCATGGCTTGCCCCCATGTCCCCCATGCATGGCTTGCCCCCATGTCCCCCATGCATGGCTTGCCCCCATGTCCCCCATGCATGGCCTTGCCCCCATGTCCCCCATGCATGGCTTGCCCCCATGTCCCCCATGCATGGCTTGCCCCCATGTCCCCCATGCATGGCTTGCCCCCATGTCCCCCATGCATGGCTTGCCCCCATGTCCCCCATGCATGGCTTGCCCCCATGTCCCCCATGCATGGCTTGCCCCCATGTCCCCCATGCATGGCTTGCCCCCATGTCCCCCATGCATGGCTTGCCCCCATGTCCCCCATGCATGGCTTGCCCCCATGTCCCCCATGCATGGCTTGCCCCCATGTCCCCCATGCATGGCTTGCCCCCATGTCCCCCATGCATGGCTTGCCCCCATGTCCCCCATGCATGGCCTGCCTCCATGTCCCCCATGCACACTATCGAGCAGGACTGGGACCGAGTGGCAGCGGTGTTTGTGCTGGGCAAGGAGTGGCAGTTCAAGGGGTGGCCCTTCAAGGACCATGTCGACATCCTCTCCAAAGGTGCGTGCATATGCAGCCCACACGCGGATATTCTCTCCAAATCCCCGCCTCGTGTGGACTGCTGCCTTGAGCTGAGACTGACCCACATGCGAATACTCTCTGAAGTTTTCACTGGTGGTTGTCTCAATTCTTGTGGCTGCTCACTGACTTGACTCTTGCTGCTCATGTTCCGTTCGTGCATGTATCTGTGCCTGTGTGTGTGCATGTATGTATGCATGTTTGTGCATGCATATGGATGTATGCTTGTATGCATGTGTGCACGTGGAGCAAGCAGTGATGGGGGTGTTTGTGCGCTTTGAGGACGACAGTGTGGAGTCAGCAGCCACAGTGAAGAATTGGAACTGCAGCATCCTCGCTGTAAGCATTCACACACACACCCTACATCTCCTACAAGGGACCTCCCATGCCATACCCCATGCAATCTCATGGTATATACTCTCCTCTGCGCATACTCTACTCCTTCCATGCCATACCCCACAGCACACCTCTCTTTCTCTGCACATACTCTGCTCCTTACCCTCCTCCTTTCCCCCCACTCCACCCCACCCCAATCTCCCCTCTCTCCTCCACTCCTCTCCACCCCTCCACACCTCCCAGATTAGCAAGTACAAGCGGCATCAGGATCGCACAGCAGCGCTCACCTTCTGGGACAGGCTCGACAAGTTTCTGGCCGCCCGCAAGTCCGTGCTCGCCTACTAGAAGCTTCTTGCATCCACGCTCCGCTCTGCTCGTGCTAAGGCTGTGCTTGCAAGCCAAGGGCCTCAATTTGCAACAGATTCTTCAAGGCGAGCTCTGAGCAGAAGGCCTCAATCATCAGAATCAGGAGGTCAGCTTCAATTGCTCTGTAGGTGCAATGATATGACAGATGTGGGTGCTGGTTGCAAGTTTACCAGTTAGCATCAAATGCAGTGAGCCAATCTGTATTTTGCATATGCCATTACTGTACAAAGAATTTATATAGAACCTTCGTTATGAAGGTTGATCCAGGGCCCACAGCCAACAACCTACTCCACCCATATCTTGAGGTGCCAGCCAAGAGTATTACCATGTCATTCCACTCAACCACACCCTACGAGACAGCTCTTTGCACAGCCTCACCACCAGCAGCAGTCCCATTGGTGCTGTCAGCTGTACACACTCCACACGCCTTCCTGCAAGCCCCAACAAACCTCTCCCCCCCAACCATATACTTGCTGTTTTTCTCACACTCCCCTGCCTCCGCCCACTCTGCACACATGCCATTCGTATCCGCACACACATTGGGATCCCCCTCCTCCCCAGGCACATCAAACTCCCTCACGTGAATCCACTTGGGTGCCGACCACTTCACCCCAGCCACCACCGGGCACGCATAGTGCATACTCGCCTCATCCGGCGTCCCATCCGGGTGCATACTAAAGAACAACAACGCGTCCCCTTTAACGGGCTTGACTGCCAGGTAACCCTTGGCGCAGTCAGACCAGGAGTGGTCTTTGGGAGTGGGGTCGGGGACATTGGAGAAGACGGTTTCCCCGCCAAGGGTGACGTTGCTGAGATACATGAGCACGGTGGCCAGCCGCTGCCCGCCCTGCAGCGTCTCGGGTGGATCAGAGAAGTAGTCGTGGTGAGGCACGTACTTCTGCCCCACGTTGTATCTCAGCACCTGATGGGTGGGGGGGGGGGGAAGGGAAAGCATAAGAAGCAGGGATGCCACATGCCAACGTATGCCACATGCTTTTGCCCGTACTTCTGCTGATGCTTCTGCCTATGGTTGTCTGCTGGCTGCCCTATGGTTGGCTAAAAGACGTGCAGGGGAGCAATGGAAGGACGGAGGGTGGGGACGTCAGGGGTGAGGGGAAGGCAAGGAGGAGGAGGGGAATTTGTGGGGCTTGCACCGCATCCTTTGTTGTGATCCATTTTTCTATGACAGGGAAGCGGCGGGTGAAGGAGCGATATGGGGAAGAAGTGGGGTAAGCGGGGGAGCGGTGGAGCAGGGGGACGGGTTGCTGAAGTGGGTGGTTGAGTTTCCATCGCCCGTGCTCGATCTGGGCCACTATTGATTCCTTCCTCTTGCCGCTCATTCCCCGCGGCCTACCTTCTCCTGCTCGAGCTTCTCCCATCCTTCCCTCTCCTTGCCATTGCTCACCTGCAGCGCCTCCTGGTGCGACACGGGCAGGTGCGTCCACGCCTCGATCCGCCGTTCGACGCGCGCAATCACGTCGTCCGCGCCCTTGTCGATGAACGTCCCGAAACTCGTGCGAATGTCGCTCACCTCGCTGCCGCTGCTCGCCGCCGCGATCACCGTCGATCTGAGGGACGGTTGAGAGGGGAAGGAGAACGCACGGAGGAGGCAAGAGGGAGAGACTGAGACCTTTCATCCCCCACGGTGCTGCTATCGCGGTGCACCTGTCGTGGTAGCGTCATTGGACGCCAATTGGACTATAATGGTTATATCAGTCAGAATCTAATCAACCGTGGCGGCACCTTTCGAGCGAGGGCTCGGCGAGAGAGATGATGTGGTCGCATTCTTCGTCCGTCAGGAACCGCTTGAAAAGGTACGCGCGCGGCTCGTCCGCCGATAGCTGAATAATGGCGCGCCCGCTGGAGTCTCCTCCCCCGTCAGAGTCACCTTGACCCAACTGCTCAGTTGCCTGCGGTTGCGTTTCAGTTTCCGTCCGCCGCCTCCGTTTGCTGATCTCCCTGCGCGAGACCGGCTTCCGGCAGCTCAGGGCTCTCATTCGCCGCGTCCCTCTCCCGTCCCTGCATACGCACCCGCCACGGAGATTATTGTCGCTCTTAGTGTGACAGCTGGGGGAAGGATAAAGCACTAATTGAGTCGGTTGATGACTGTGGCGGGATTAGTTACCAGAAGTCCTGGCGGTAGGACGTAGGTGGCGCCCTTCCATCCCGGCAACGACTCCGCCTCGCCGGGGACGTCGCCCGCACGCACGAGGAGGGTGGGTAGGAGAGATAAGACGATGACGTGGAGGGCTAGGCAGGCGACCCACGCTGGCTGCATTTTCCTGTCTAATCGTCGCATACCAGCGGAAGGGGGGCTGACGCGGTTCGTAGGGAAGGTATTGTGCTACGTCGTGTGTGCGTGGCAAGACCTGCGGAGTCAAATCTTAGTGGCGCTTTTTGAAGTGTAGAAGACTGGAAGATTAGCAGCACATGCAGTGTCTCTATAAGGTACGCGAGTATACCTGTGGTGTGGACTACAAACTAATGGCATTGAAAACGATCGACTGACCGCTCGCCTTGATTGAAAATTCCGAAAGACTAGGAGAAAGCGGAACTGTTTGTAGGTTTGGCGCCTCGTTTGTTTTGACTGAACCGAGCTCAAAGATCTGGTTCGGAGGTGGTTGTTAGAAACTTATCTCGAGGCAAGCCATTCTGGAGGTGATTTTTCTTTGCTGTGCTGGAACATTGCTGCCAGCGGTGCAAATGCGCGACGCGCCCTGGGAGAAAAGCGCCCAAACCTCGTGGCCCCCGAGTGATCGTCGATGCGCGATAGCTTCATTCGCTGTCGAGTTGAATGCGCTGGACAGCGAAGTTGGTACTTTGGGCACAAAACACGTCACAGCCACGTTACTCACGTTTCGAGGAGGAAATGGAACTGATCGAAGCCGTCAATCTGTCATGCGCTGTCCTCGCGGTTTCAGTTTCGGTGCGCGGAGTCCCACCCAACCCAACACACAACACACATTTGCCATGCCAAATCCCGCCCCTCAGCAGAGCCTTCGCCCGAACCAAACCTATCTGCGTACAGTACCAGAAACAGTGCCTGACGCCGCGCTTTGACTGGTCAGCGCAACAGACCTGACCTACGAAACCGCCTTCCGCAGGCATGCCGAGCCGAACCTCGTCAGGTCACCTCAGTTTACTGCAGTCTCACTCAGCGAGATACTGGAGTGCTATGGTGGGGTGCGGTGTGCGGTATGGTGTGGTGGTGTAGATTAGGAGCTGAGATAAGTGAGGGACGGAAAATACCACGCTCCTCCCGTCACCAGAGCTTTCATATCTTACTCGTCACGTTGCCTACTAAACTTGCTTTCTCAGCTTTCCCGTATTGGTGATTAAAGTCTCTGTTTTTCCCTTAACTTCATTGTGGCTAAAGAGAGGTGGCTTCCTCTTGGCAGTGTCTACACAATCATCGCAGTTATCAGTGGCGTTACAAGTAGTCGAAATTCCTTACACAAGTAACTAGTTCAACACGCGAGATACAGCAGATTAGTTTCAATCGTAGTACTTCCAGGAATATTTCCCACGCATCTCGTAGGACTAACTACAATGGCGCGGATATCATGTGTACACCTTCCGTATCTAGCGGTGCTCTACCTATTAGCGTTCTCTGCTATGGTCGAAGCGCTCCCGCAAATAAAAAATATCCTCGGTGCATCCTTCGCTCAGAAGCGCACCATTCGTCGAACCACGGTGAGCTGATCTCTCGACCCGAGAACGTGATTGTTGCGCGCCGATGTGTACATGCTCGTCAGTAACATTGCGGGAGTCCAGCGACGCAGTGTTAGCCGATTAGTCACCTCTCGCGCTCCCGTCGATGAGCAGTCACGTGCTCCCCGCTGATCAGCAATCACGTCCGTGCTGCTGCGTGTGCGCAGGATGACGGCGCGCGCGCGAGGGGGATCGATTTCAGCCGGATAGTGCAGCTGTCGGCGTGGAAGCCGCGCGCGTACCTCTACCGTAACTTCCTCACGGACGACGAATGCGACCACATCATCAAAATCGCCACACCGCGCCTCCAGCGGTACGACTCGCCGTGTGACCATGTGACGAGACGAAGCTCCCTGTTTACATTGTGACGAGAAATCTAGTGAGTCGACGCAAAACTCACGGATGACGGATTCGCTCTCGCATTCCCTCCCGTGTGCTCCGCGCAGGTCGTCGGTGGCGGACAACACGGCGGGCAGAGCGAGCTGAGCGAGGCGAAGTCATGCGCGAATCTCTTTACGCTCTGCCTTCCGCCCGACCATCTCCCACCCGACCCTCCGACCCTTACCCTCCCCCATTCCCCCCCCGATTCCCCCGCGTGCATCTCGCAGGTCGTCGGTGGCGGACAACACGGACGGGCACAGCGAGCTGAGCGCATGCCCTTCCGCACACCCATCTCCCCGCCCCTGCACTCCTCCCCCCTCTTCCCTCCCTCCCTCTCGGCGCAGGTCGTCGGTAGCGGACAACACGGACGGGCACAGCGAGCTGAGCTCGATCCGCACGAGCAGCGGCATGTTCATCGCCGTCGCGGAGGATGCGGTCATCGCGCGCATCGAGGCGCGCATCGCACAGTGGACCTTCCTGCCGCTCCCCAACCAGGAGGCCATGCAGGTGCGACGCGGTGAAAAAGGAGGGGGAGAGGGGGGAGGGAGAAGGGGGGGGGGGGGGGGGGTGGGGTGGAAGGAGGGAGGTGATGCCGGGGAGATGCAAGGACGCGATCAACGCGGAGTGTGCTGCACGCGAATTACTCTCCTTACACCCCCCCACCCCCCACCCCAACAGGTGTTGCGGTACGAGAAGGGGCAGAAGTACGAGCCGCACGTGGACTATTTTCACGACCCCAACAACCGCAAGCGCGGTGGGCACCGGTACGCCACGGTGCTGATGTACCTCAACAACGTCACCAAGGGCGGGGAGACCGTCTTCCCCACCGCTGACGACCCCTCGCCCAAAGACAACTCGTGGACTGAATGCGCCAAGGGGAAACTCGCTGGTGAGGGGGGGAGTGGGGGGGAGGGGGGAAGGGGGGGAGGGGGGAGCTCGCCTGTGGAAGAGGGCGGGTAAGGGTGTTTCCCCACTGCGGACGACCCCTCGCCCAAGGATGACTCGTGGACTGACTGCGCCCAGGGGAAACTCGCTGGTGAGGGGGGGAGTGGGGAGGGGGAAGGGGGGAGGGGGAGGGGGGAGGGGGGGAGGGGGAGGGGGAGGGGAAAGCTTGTTAGGAGAGCAGGGAAGGGAAGGGTGGAGGAATGGAAGGCAGATGGTGGTGAGGGGGGGTGGGGTGAAGTGGCAGCAGAAGGGGTTGGGGTGGATAAGGATGTGTGTAGGGGATAGGCTGTGGGACCAGGAGGGGGGGGAACGCGGAGGAAGCGGGCGTGGTGAGCGGAGGGAGCAGGCGGTGCGACATGGCAAACGGAAACTTGGTCAATAGGGGGAGTGGAGCCGGAGATGGGGAGGGGTAGGGACGGATAGAGGAGAATGGAGAAGTTGAGCAGAGGGGTGTGTACGGAAGCAGCTGCTGAATGCACGTACTGTATTCATTCTAAACTCCCCTCTCCCCACCTCCCCCCCTGTCATGCGTTTTGTGCCACTCAACTTGCCTCCCCCCCTTCACTCCACCAGTGAAGCCCTCCAAGGGCGATGCTCTTCTCTTCTACAGCATGCTCCCGGACGACTCGCCCGGGCCCTTCCTCACTGCACACGCGTGCCTCCATCCTCATTCCTCCACTTCCCACCGTCCCTCCCCTCTCCCCTTGCCCCCTTCTGTCGCCGGTGAAACCATCCAAAGGCGACGCCCTTCTCTTCTACAGCATGCATCCCGACCCGATGGCTCGCCCGACCCCTCGTCGCTGCACTAAGCATGTCTCCATCCACCGTCCCCTTTCCCCCCCCTTCGGGCCCCCACCCCACCAGTGAAGCCCTCTAAAGGCGACGCGCTTCTCTTCTACAGCATGCACCCGGACGGCTCGCCCGACCCGTCGTCGCTGCACTACGCATGCCCCGTGGTGGAGGGGGTCAAGTGGTCCGCGCCCAAGTGGATCCACGTCGCAGACTTCAGCAAGACCTACTCGGGGCCGTCGGGCGGGGTCGGCTTGGCTGACATGGCGGGCGGCGGGCAGGGGGTGCTGTCGGGGTGCATTGATGCCAACGCCTTGTGAGTGGCCAGGGGAGTGGGCATTGTGAGTGGGTGGGGAAGCGTGCCATTTGAGTGGTTTAGGGAGTGTGCACATGTGGGTGCAGGAGCATATGTGGGGGGGTGTGGGTTGTGAGTGGACAGGGTAGCATGTGCGTTTGTGAGTGGACAGGGGAGCATGTGCGTTTGTGAGTGGACTGCGGAGCATGTGCGTTTGTGAGTGGACTGGGGAGCATGTGCGTTTGTGAGTGGACTGGGGAGTGTGCACATGTGGGCGGAGGAGCATGAGTGTGTGGGTTGGTTGGGAGCAGTTATGGAGGCACGTCATGATATTTCATGCATGCCACTGTCATGGCCGTGCATGCATGCATGCCTGTGTGGATATTCAATATGCCTCATCCTCATTCTTGTGCGAAACTGCACTGCTCTCTGCTCATCTGCTCATCGCTGCCCTGTGTGTGTCTCACCCCGTGTGCGTGTATGTGTGTGGTGCTGGTGGTGGGTGCAGCTGTCCCAGCTGGGCGGCGAGTGGGGAGTGCGAGAAGAACCCCGCCTACATGCACGAGTCGTGCCGCAAGTCATGCAAGCAGTGCTAGAGGCGCCCGGCCGGCACCACCAGGGGAAAGGCGCTAGCAGGAGAACGAGTTATACATGAGCTACTGGTGCTAGCAGGAGAACGAGTCAAGTAACATGAGTTACTGCTGCTCCGCTCCGCAGCTACGGTGCTGAACATGCCTGGCAGTAACGGTGGTACTACCGGTATGAGTGCTGCAATGTACCGGTAGCATGTGTTGCGGAGGCATACTAAGTGTAAGGCCAATACAGCAGAAGCCAAATATGTTTCGCCAGTTTCGTATCCTCTGTGTTAGTTTTTTACGGCACTCATTTGAGCTCGTACGGTGCAATGAACTGTAGCCCCTCAACCATACATTGTTGTGTAATTGTGAAACGTCAGTAGTACCGTAAGAACTGCTTCTGATTTGTCATACATAAACCTGAAGAACTGGTAATGATACTTTTTGTTGACAATACAGACAGTGCGCCCTTCAAAATGCTCTTACATACCTACTGGTATGCCGTTTCATCATCGAGATTATCAATCAACTCTAAGCGTCATGCTTTTCTGCATTCCCATTCCACCATTGCTGCAGCTACTACCGTCATCACCCGGATATGACAGTGTTGAATAGTAGACAGGGGTTGTCTACTATACGGGTGTCTCTTATAAACAGGCTAGCCTCATTATAAGACACCTATTTGTGTGTATGAGATAAGACATATATGTCTTATAATCGAAACTTCAATAAATTATAGCGAAAGTTGAAGTACCGCGTACTTTTTTACCCTTGCGAAGCGCGAATTCTTCCACGCGCTGACCCAGGACCTACCAAATTTGCCCCTGCAGGTGTTCTCCATAACGTGGCGTCTCGGGCAGAGGTTGTCGAAGTGGCACCTTCGCAACATCCACACGCATTATGAGAAACTCTTTTTAAAGAAGTACGGAAAATATTTCTAAGTAGTTTAAAAAGTTTCCATTTATAAGACTTATAAGACACCCTAAACCGTCCCGTTTACAAGATAACTCAAGCATTTTTGCCCGTGTACGAGATAAGACATATATGTCTTATATCCGGGCGATGACGGTACTACTGCTGTGCAGTAATGCTACAACCGTATAAATTCATGTACTTCAGCAGGACTGTAAACTAAAAATCATTCCTTTCCTGCCTGCCACTACCACCGTCTAGTACAGTAATGCCTAAAGAGTCTTTCACTGCCACCACTACTGTGAGCTGTAAACCTGCTGATATGTATCATCACCGTCTAATAAATATTTACTAATCTAATCAAAAACTAGATATTAATAATCATATAGTTTACTACCCATGCACTGTATGTGTGCATGGTGGGTTGGGTTCCTCTTGGCTGCCAGGAGCAGAGCTCCTGACGTTACACCCAAGCACCACGGTGAGGTGGGAACCATCGCTTAGGACCCTGTTGGGGGGGGGAGAGAGAGAAAAAACACAATGCAGACTGCCCGGGGGCAGATGAAAATCATCCTCAAAGCAGGTGCTGCCCGTCCTTGCGGCCCAGTCTTGCTGCTTGACCAGCTGTGTAATTTTGCTCACTGCAGCTAGGCTGCTGTGAGGAAACAAGAGAAATGGGTTTTCAGGCGTATCCCAAAACACAGAGTTTGCTCACTGCAGCGACTCTGCAGTGAGGAGAAAACGAATTTTGAGACGTCTCTCAAAGCTCAGGGACCAACGGACTGACAGGAACGGACACGCAACGACAAGCTGCAGTGCACTGCAGTAAACAGAACAGAACCGCCACCGGCGGTTCACAGCTGTCTTGAGGCGCCTCAAGAACAGCACACGGGGACCCCACCCCTCACCCCTCACCCCTCACGCCTCACCCCTCCTCCTCCGCACTCCACCCCGCCTCCCTCCTCCCTCCCGTGTAGCTGCTGCTGCCGTGCCTCTCGCCCTGCAGTACAGGAATGCAAGAGGGGGGGGCTAAGGGAAGAAAGATAAGTGGCTGGTGAAGAGAATGCAAAGAAATGAAACAGAAATTGAAACATGCAACAACAAAATGGAACGAATGCAAAAACAGAGCGGAAATTGGTCCCCTCCCAGAGCCCCATACTCCCTTCTGAAAGAAGGCGCTGCTGGTGCTGCTGCTCCCTCCTCCTCCGCACGCCAACCTGCCTCCCTCCCTCCCGTGTAGCTGCTGCTGCCACGCCTCCCGCTCTGCAGTACAGGAATGCAAGAGAGGGGGCTAAGGGAAGAAAGGTAAGTGGCTGGTGAAGAGAATGCAAAAAACGAAACAGAAATTGAAACATGCGACAACGAAACGAAACGAATGCGAAAACAGAGCGGAAATTGGTCCCCTCCCCGAGCCCCGTACTCCCTTCTGAAAGAAGACGCTGCTGGTGCTGCTGCTCCCTCCTCCTCCGCACGCCAACCCGCCTCCCTCGTCCCTCCCGTGTAGCTGCTGCTGCCACGCCTCCCGCTCTGCAGTACAGGAATGCAAGAGGGGGGGGCTAAGGGAAGAAAGATAAGTGGCTGGTGAAGAGAATGCAAAAAACGAAACAGAAATTGAGACATGCGACAACAGAACGAAACGAATGCGGAAACAGAGTGGAAATTGGTCCCCTCCCTGAGCCCCGTACTCCCTTTTGAAAGAAGGCGCTGCTGGTGCTGCTCCTGCTCCCTCCTCCTCCGCACGCCAACCCGCCTCCCTCCTCCCGTGTAGCTGCTGCTGCCACACTTCACGCTCTGCAGCCGCCCTCACCAGATCTCCACTCCGCCATGTTGCGCTCTGCCATACAGAAATGCAACAGGGGGAACTAAGGAAAGAAAGATAAGTTGCTGGTGAAGATGCAAGCAAAAAGAGAATGCAAAAAACAAAGCAGAAATTGAAACATGCAACAAGGGGGGATTTGAGGAAACGAATATACGTTGGTGGTGAGAGTGCAAGGGAAAACAGAATGCAAAATGAAAACGAAACACGCAACAAGGAAAGAAACAAGAACAGAATAAAGTAAAAGTTGTTCTCCTCGCCCCATACTTCCTTCTCATGGCAGGCGTTGCTGATGGCACCACACTGCACTGGCACCGCACTGAACTCCCTCAGACCCATCCATACTCCCTTCTCAAGGCAGGCGTTGCTGATACTCCCTTTTAAAGGGGTACCGCACTGCACTCCCTTGGACCCATACATCCTTCTCAAGGCAGGCGCTGCTGATGGCACCGCACTGCACTCCCTTGGACCCATACTACCTTCTCAAGGCAGCTGCTGATCGCACCGCACTGCACTCCCTCGGACCCATCCATACTCCCTTCTCATGGCAGGCGTTGCTGATACTCCCTTTTAAAGTGGTACCGCACTGCACTCCCTTGGACCCATACATCCTTCTCAAGGCAGGCGCTGCTGATGGCACCGCACTGCACTCCCTTGGACCCATACTACCTTCTCAAGGCAGGGGCTGCTGATCGCACCGCACTGCACTCCCTCGGACCCATCCATACTCCCTTCTCATGGCAGGCGTTGCTGATACTCCCTTTTAAAGGGGTACCGCACTGCACTCCCTCGGACCCATCCATACTTCCTTCTCATGGCAGGCGTTGCTGATACTCCCTTTTAAAGGGGTATCAGCAACGAGTGCTGATCAGGAGTGCGTCAAAGGCAAAAAGAGGAGTTGACTGGGAAGTATGAGGTGAAGCATGCTTAGGGTGAGTTGAGCAAGCGGTGGGACAAGCGGGAGGATGAGAAGCAAAGAGTGGGGTGGCAGCCACCACTCTCAGCACGCATCCAACACACACTTACCGCGGCTCAGCTGGGCAAGAGGGAGAGTGAGAGGAGAGCAATGAGAGGGAGGTCGCACCCCCAATCAAAGTATCACCTCTCAGACACACCTTTCACGCAGCTTTGTACTCCCTTCCACACACCACAGCCTCTCCCTCCAAGTACCCCCTCCTTGAGCTTATCAGCCTCTCCTTCTCGCACCTCCACCTCACCCCAAGGGTGCAGGTGGGATAACACGCACCTCCGCCTCACCCCAAGGGTGCAGGTGGGATAACACGTACCTCCGCCTCACCCCAAGGGTGCAGGTGGGATAACACGCACCTCCGCCTCACCCCAAGGGTGCAGGTGGGATAAATCGCATGGGAAGCCACATGCGGCCTTCGGTCACGCCATCCTTGCTCCATCCGCATCGCCTCGCGTGCCGCCAGCAAGCGGGTGGTCAGCAGGGCGGGTAGGAGGCACCCACATGCCAGTGGCTGCCGGCTGTGCGTCATCCCACCTCTCTCGCTCTTCTCCTCGTTCCATCCGCCGTGCCTTGAAACCGCCTGAGAGAGCTTTACTCAGTCCGCCCACGGATTGCGTCTCACAGCCTCACCTTGCCTCGCAGCCTCGTCTCGCCTCTCGCCTCGCCGGGCGTTGCACTCACATCCAGAGAGCATGTCGTGGGGGGTGCACTCACATCCAGAGAGCGTGTCGTGGGAGTTGCACTCACAAGCAGAGAGCATGTCGTGAGAGTTGCACTCGCATCCAGAGAGCATGTCGTGGGAGTTGCACTCACATCCTAGTCGCACCCGCAGCCATCGTCGGTAAAAGAATCAAAGACAAGCCAATGCAAACCTACAGATGCACTCACATCCAGAAAAGAAGGTGGCAGTGGCCATCGCTTCTGTGAAGATCATCGGTGATATGTCAAAGAGAAACGAGAAAGACCGCGAGATAGAGCGAGAGAGGCAAGGGTAAGGAAGCTCAATTGGTTTTGTTGTCGCTTGCAGCAGCTGATTGTTGTCTCGCGTCCACTGTAGGCCACCGTTGCACCGCCTTCACCGCCCGTTCACCGAGTCAGCCATCCGCCCTCTTCATCCCCCTCACTCCAGGCGCCCTCCTCGCCTCACTTCCAAATATCCGCTTGCAGCGTCACCCTCGCCCTCGCAAGTGGGTGGTCAGCAGGGCGGGTAGGGCCGGCCGTGCGTCATCCCACCACGCTCGCCCTCCCCTTGCATGCGCGCTGGCCTCTAAAATGCCGTGCTTCCCCCGCTACAGCCGCCCCCCCCAGCTCTCCACTCCGCCATGTTGCGCTCTGCCATACAGAAATGCAACAGGGGGAACTAAGGAAAGAAAGATAAGTTGCTGGTGAAGATGCAAGGGAAAAAAGAATGCAAAAAAACAAAACAGAAATTGAAACATGCGACAAGGGGGGATCCGTGCAAGGAAAGATAAGTTGGTGGTGAGGGTGCAAGGGAAAACAGAATGCAAAACGAAAGCGAAACACGCGACAAAGAAAAAACAAAAAATTTGTTCTCTTCGGCCCCATACTCCCTTCTCAAGGCAGAAGTTGCTGATGACACCACACTGCACACTCTTGGACCCATCCATACTCCCTTCTCAAGGCAGGCGCTGCTGATGGCACCGCACTGCACTCCCTCGGACCCACCCATACTCCCTTCTCAAGGCAGGCGCTGCTGATGGCACCGGACTGCACTCCCTCAGACCCACCCATACTCCCTTCTCGAGGCAGGCGCTGCTGATGGCACCACACTGCACTCCCTCGGACCCATCCATACTCCCTTCTCAAGGCAGGCGCTGCTGATGGCACCGCACTGCACTCCCTCGCACCCATACTCCCCTCTCAAGGCAGGCGTTGCTGATACTCCCTTTGAAAGGGGTATCAGCAACGAGTGCTGATCAGGACTGCGTCAAAGGCCAAAAGAGGAGTTAACTGGGAAGTATGAGCTGAAGTATGCTTAGGGTGAGTTGAGCAAGCGGTGGGACAAGCGGGAGGATGAGAACCAAAGAGTGGGGTTGCAGCCGCCAGTCTCAGAACGCATCCAACACACACTTACCGCGGCTCAGCTGGGCAAGAGGGAGAGTGAGAGGAGAGCAATGAGAGGGAGGTCCCACCCCCAATCAAAGTATCACCACTCAGACACACCTTTCTCCCAGCTTTTTACTCCCTTCCACATACGACAGCCTCTCCCTCCAAGTACCCCCTCCTTCAGCTTATCCGCCTCTCCTTCTCGCACCTCCACCTCACCCCAAGGGTGCAGGTGGGAGAACACGAATGGGAACAACGAGCTTCGCTCGCTCCATCCTTGCTCCATCCGCCTCGCCTCGCGTGCCGCCAGCAAGCGGGTAGTCAGCAGGGCGGGTAGGAGGCACCCACATGCCACTGCCTGCCGGCCGTGCGTCATCCCACCTCTCTCGCCGGGAGTTGCACTCACATTCAGAGAGCGTGTCGTGGGAGTTGCACTCACATCCAGAGAGCGTCTCGTGGGAGTTGCACTCACATCCAGAGAGCGTCTCGTGGGAGTTGCACTCACATCCAGAGAGCGTGTCGTGGGAGTTGCACTCACATCCAGAGAGCGTGTCGTGGGAGTTGCACTCACATTCAGAGAGCGTGTCGCAGGAGTTGCACTCACATCCAGAGAAGGCCGTGGTGGGCGTTGCACATCCATCGTCGGCAAAAGAATCAGAGACAAGTCAACGCAAACCTACTGATGCACTCACATCCAGAGAAGGAGGTGGACGTGGCTGTTGGTGAAGAGCGTCGATGATATGTCAAAGAGAAACGAGAAAGACGGCCAGATAGAGCGAGATAAATGAGAGAGGCAAGGGTAAGAAAGCTCAATTGATTTTGTTGTCGCTTGCAGCAGCTGATTGTTGTCTCGCGTCCACTGTAGGCCACCGTTGCACCGCCTTCACCGCCCGTGCACCGAGTCAGCCATCCGCCCTCGTCATCCTCCTCACTCCAGCCGCCCTCGTCGCCTCGCTCCGTCCGCTCCGGCCGCACTCCTCGCCTCGCCCCATCCGCTTGCATTGCGGCGCCACCCTCGCCTTCGCAAGCGGGTGGTCAGCAGGGCGGGTAGGGCCGGCCGTGCGTCATCCCACCACGCTCGCCCTCCCCTTGCATGCGCGCCGTCTTCAAATCTGCACTTCCAAAGAGCGAAAAGAGGCATAGAGCGAAGGATGATAAGTAGCTGGGACCATGATGAATGCAAAAACAATGTGTTGATAGAACAAGAATGAATGAGACAGCAACCGTGGCAAACAGGGAAAAGAGATCAAGAACGGAAATTAGAGGCAAGGGTAAGGAAGCTCAATTGCTTTTGTTGTCGCTTGCAGCTGACTGTTGTCTCGTGTCCACTGTAGGCCACCGTTGATCCGCCTTCACCGCCCGTTCACCGAATCAGCCATCCGCCCTCGTCATCCTCCTTGCTCCAGGCGGCCCCGTTGCCTCGCTCCTCCATGCTCTCTGCTGCTGCCTTCCCGTAGATGTGCTGGCAGAGGGGTGTAGGCAAAGGGAAGCAGGCAGAGGGATGCTGGCAGGAGGAGAGGAGAAGAGGGAAACAAGTGGAGGGAGCAGAGAAGGGAGATGAGAAGGAAGGCGATTAGCATGGCGTACGCAAGTGACAGAACGGAAAAATGGCACGCATGCAAGCAGTGAGAGTGCGTGAGTGGCGTGAGTGGCGGTGGCATTGGGTGGAAGCGGGTGGGGGCAGCAGCAGGGCGGGCACCAAGGACAATACCGTACCTTACCACACCTGACGCACTTACCTGCTGTCACACACCTGGGGAGGGTCCCTTGGTGCCGCCCGTCAGAGCAGCGAGAGGAGGAGGAGGGCGAGAGTGCAAGCAAGCAAGCAGTGGATGGCACGAGTGGGAGCGGGTGAGTGGTGCGCGCACAGTGCGAATTCAGTGAGATGGCTTAGCCGGATTGACGAGGGTCGAAGGAGCATGCAGGCGTGCTCCCCTTGCGTGCGCTCCCTGCGCTCCCTGCCCCGCGTTTGTGTGCCTCCTTGAGTCTGCTCTGCTCCCGGAGAGGCGAGCAGTGGTCAGCAGGGCGCGCAGCAGCAGTGTTGCCCGCCGTGCGTCATCCCACTGCCGCCCTCTGCTGGCTCTGCACAAGGAGCAACCAGGCACAGCGGCAGAGAGCACAAGACCGAGTGGCTGTGAGAGCAAGAAGAGGTGGCACAGAGCAGGAGCAGGTGAAACCAACGAATCAAGTCGACGAACGAACGAACGAACGAATGGTAAACACATTGAAGCGACAAGTGAGTGATAAGGGAGCAGTGGGCCAAGGGCACCGAAGCAGCGAGCTGATGCAGCGAGGGGGGACTGGGGACGCGCGCATGGCATGAATGAAATGCTATCCTAAGCCACACCCACTGGACACTCTGGACTGGACTGGACTCTACATGAGCTCAGCTGCCATAATGCGCCCTGACCCACCGCCGCCATGCGCCTCACAGGAACACGTGTGCTTGAGACGAGAAACGCGGGATGCAACAACAACACAACACTGGTGCGGAGTGGTGGAGTGGTGTAGAAACACAACAGAGTGGTGTAGGGGTTGAGGAGGGAACTTAGCCAGGTTCAGAAGCTGCTCGTTGCTTGCCGATCGTTGTTTTCTGCACTCGCCGCAATTTCTCGACACGTTCCGATTCGCCATTCACCACGTCAGCGCCGCTCCCCGCAGTTGGCAGCGCCGCTCCCCGCAGTTGGCAGCGCCGCTCCCCGCAGTTGGCAGCGCCGCTCCCCGCAGTTGGCAGCGCCGCTCCCCGCAGTTGGCACCGCCGCTTCCCGCAGTTGGCTCCGATCGCAGGCCCGCTCTGGTGTTGCCTGGCTGTTGACAGCTGATGTTGACTGCTGCTACACGTGCTGTTGCTCTGGTGCTCTGCCACGCTCGATTCGGCCTGAGGGAAGAAGATGGATGGAGGGAGAAGGAACAGCGAGAGGGCAGGCAGAGAGAACTTGGAATGTTACGTAGCAGAAAACATGTCAAGGTGGGAAAGAGAGCAGAGGTCGTGGAGAGCAAGAATGAGAATGAATTGGAGCTTGCAACAGCAGAGTCTCGAGTGGTTGGGGAGGGGTGGGGGGGGAAGGCGCATGGCGACAGTGGCCCACGGCACTACAGCAGCGAGCTGAGCCAGCGAGGGGGGACTGGGACGCACGCATGGCATGAATGCACTCCCTCTCTTCCTCTCCTCTCTCCCACCACTCCCACTACACTACACTCTACATGAGCTCTGCTGCCATAGCACCATGGACCACCACCAGCATGTGCCAAGCAAGGGATACGAGGTGAAAATCTGGCAGCAGTAAAAACGACGGACGGGGAAAGCGAGTGGGGAGCGCGAAGAGACTTAGCTACAGGAGAGTGTTGAAGCTGATCATCCGCATCCGCACATTGTCACGCGAGGTACATCGCACGCCCTCCCACGCACTTAGTCGCCACCTTCCGCACACGGACGCGCGCGGACGCACACGGTACGTCGCATGGTGCTCGCCGGACATCGTCGCATGCGGCCGATCCGTCAGCATCCGCACGCCTTCACGGCTGTTCACCACGCCAGCCGCATGCCTTCACCGCTGTTCACCGCGCCAGCTGCACACCGTCGCACTCGGTAAGCCGTCATCTTCCGCACACCGTCGCACGGGACGTCGCCAGCACCCGCACAACGTCGCACGCGGAAGGTCGCACGCAGTTGGTCGCCGACTTCCGCACACGTAGCACGGGATACGTCGCCATCATCCGCACGGCCTCGCACGTAATTAGTCGCCATCTTCCGCACACGGACGCGCGCGGTACGTCGGATGCCGCCATCTTCCGCACACAGACACGGACGCGCGCTCTGCGTCGCCTGCCGTTCGTCGCACATCGTCGCATGCATCCGAACATGCGAAACGTTGCACGCGGTAAGTCGCCATCTTCCGCACACGGACGCGCGCGGTATGTCGCATGCCGTTCGTCGCACATCGTTGCATGCCGTCAAAGAACGTCGCACGCCGATCGTCGCACGCGGTAAGTCGCCATCATCTGCACACCGGCGCACGGGGAACATCGCCCGCGCTGTCGAATGCCGTTTGTCGCTCATCGTCGTATGCGCCATGTTGCCCAGCATCCGCACGGCGCCGCATGCGGAACGTCGCCATCTTCCGCACACCGTACGCGGTTGGCTACCGTCTTCCACACACGGTCAACCGCGTGAAGTCGTAATTTTCCACACACCGTCGCACAGGGAACGTCGTACGCGGTTCGTCGCCATCTTCCGAACATCGTCGCATGCAGTATGTCGCCAGCATCCGCACAACGTCGCACGCGGAAGGTCGCACGCAGTGTGTCGCCGTCTTCCGCATGGTTGCGCGTAATTCGAAATTCGCCACTTGCTGCTACACGATCGCCGCACGTTGCCAGCCGCTGACTTCGTCGCTAGCCGTTCGCCATTCGCTGCTCGCCGTTCGACATTCGCTAGTTGCCAATCGCCGCTATCATTGCTCGTCCGCTTGCCTTTCGCCGCTCGTCAGGTTGCACCCTGTTGCTCGGAGTAGTTAACCCATTAGTTTCCGTCTCTGTGTCGTGTGTCACTGTGTCGCCGTGAGTCACCGTGACGCCGGATGCCGGTTGCCTTGAGACTGCTTCCGTCGTCCCGAAGGTGCTTCTCTTCAAGAGAAGATCATTACGGACGCCGGATGCCGGTCGCCTTGATACTTGAGATTCACTCGCCATTCTGACCATTACGGCGGCAATCTGACGTGAATTCCGTCAACCCTGTTGGAAACTGCCGTAATAACACTCCGTGCCTCCGGTGCTGCCTGAAGATGCTAACAGAAGCGTCTCGAATGTCATTCCTGACACGGTGCTGCTTCACGTATCATAATGCCTTGACTTAACGTTCGGGTATCGGCGACCATAGCAGGTATCGGCGAGTAGTTGGATGTACGAACATTTCGGAACGACGCTTAAACGGAACGAAAGCGACATACGCTTCAACTAGAGCGGTGGAAACCTTATCAGGAACGGGGCGTCACGGATCATGTTTGCCAACATGAAAGTACCGGTTAATGATACTCAATTTATCCAAATCTAGATGCTGAGATTCAACGTAAGTAGCGTTGCGGAAACTAAAACAGTGGGATTTCCTTAGCGGTTACGAATCATAGGTATTGCGGTTATAAGGAAAGAGGCAAGCAGTTAAACATCAGCCAATCAGTTCTCCCACTGGGACAGACTTATCAAGATAAGCCACTACTGTCATAAACCTTCTTAAGAATATGATCTATTCGCAATAGGCTACATCTCTGAGAGATTTCCAGCAGCCATGGCGAGCTGAGAAAGCACGAGCTAACGCTGACTGAAGAATCAATGAAAGGAATGGAGGGACTAGAATTCGGCAGAGGTGACTGGAACAGCCTTGGGAATGTCGCCGGGTTGACTTGGTCTCAGGGTGCGTTCCTGGCTAGTGTCAAACTTCCGGTCAAACTTCGTGTTTTCCGAGCCAGGGGCAATTTTTTGCGGGAAGACCCGAAGTGGGGTCAGCTGTGGGGCGAGCTTCGTCATCCCGGGAAGACCGGAAGTTTGACACGAGCCAGGAACAAACCCTCAGAGAGGCTGCATGGACTTGCTGGAGGGAGGCGACGACAGGCGAGAGGGAGTCGCCAAAACAGAGGCTTCCGCTGGTCTCCGCCCGCCACACAGAATGGCGCAAACATTTCGCGAGCAAATGACGAAGGAGTAGCCCGAGGAAATTGGGTTCCAGACGACTTTCGCCACCGGCATGGAGTCCAAAGCAGCCGCTAAACGGCGCTGGGCTGGGGTCTAGGTATACAGACGAAGCGCAGTATTTGAATGTTCTGCGCGGGAGACTTCTGCAGCAGGTGTTCAGAAAAAGGTTCTGCCGCAATATTTTGGATCATCGCTGGAAGTTTCCAATCAATCATTATACAGTCATTTTGTAGTGTAGACTTCTTTCTGGCTTATGCCAGCATCAGAAAACAAAGAAACGACATGCAGTAGATTCTTATCCAACATAACTTTCACTACCAGACATTATAGGAACACATATATGAGGACTGAAGGCCTTACTGAGTTGAATTTACCGGTACTACCAGTAAAACGACGCAAAACGACGCGACAGAACACAATCTGTTTGCTTGAATGGCCAGCCTGCCAGCTCGTCCTGGTCTTCCCTAATTTCTTGACTCTCTGCCTCACCACCCGCCACATGCACCCATGTTACCATGTGCCTGTGTCACACGTAACCTACATCTCTGCTGCTACCATGCACCACTGCCAGCAGAGGCATGTGAGGAGGAGGCAGAACTGCCACTGTCAGCAGCAGCCTGTCTGCTCCACACATCCGCCAGCAGCTGGTACCCCCAGCTCTTACACCCGTCCCTATGCCCCACCACCCCTGCCTTGCAGCAATGCTACCAGGTACCTGTGCCACATGCCCCCTGCATCTCTGCTGCTACCATGCACCTGGGTCACCAGAGGAATGCGAGGAGGCAGCACTGCCACTGCCAGCAGCCTGTCTGCTCCACATGTCCGCCAGTAGCTGGTACCCCGAGCTCTTATACCCGTCCTTGTGCCCCACAACCCGCCCCTTCACTCCCGCCGCCGCACCCCTCCCCGCCCCACCCTTCCCACTCGCCCCTCCTCCACCACCACCACCACCACCAGCACCAGCACCAGCACCTGCACTGCCGCCCCTGTCAAGCTCAAGCAGCATGTGGGAGAGGAGGTCAGCGGGGGATTCTACCAGCCGGAGCTCCTCGTCGCTGTCATACCCGCGGTCGAGAGCCAGACCAGAGGACCCCGCATGGGGCAGGTGCAGTAGCCGCACGGAGCCCAGGAGGAGACGGATGGATGGCGAAGGGGGCGGGGTGTAGGGCGTGGCGGGGAGAGGCGCGATGTCGGTGGAAGGATTGGATTTGCCCCGCCGCGACTCGCTATGCACCTGATGAGGGGGTGCGGGGGTGGGGAGAGGGGAGGGCATGGAACGAGGTGGGGTTATGAGGTGGAATGAGGTGGGATTGTGAGGTGGGAACTTGGCGGGATGGAGAGGCATGGCATGATGGAGACAAATGACCGTCACCTCCCAATCCAAATCAGCCCTGAATTACCTTGCTGTCAACCTGACTCGCCTCCCTGTTGAGCTGCTGCAGCAGGGTGGAGGAGACGGGATTGGGCGCGTTGGCATCGGGAGAGGCATGGTGGCGAATCCACATCCCATCCCCAGACATGGTATGAGCTTTGCTATCAACCCCTCACCTCCCTGTCCACCCTGGCTTACCTACCCGTTGAGCCCATCGACCGTGGCTCACCTCGCTGTTGAGTTGCTGCAGCAGGGTAGATGACACAGGGTCGGGTGCGTTGGCGTCGGGAGCAAAGATGAGGAGGATGCGCCGCAGCAATGCCAGCGTCAGATCGCCACACACCTGCGCTTCCGACGCCAAGAAACACACATGCACATGCACATGCACAGACAGTACATTGATTATTGCAAGCGTGGAAGTGTGACGCATGTTATGCACTTCATGGATGTGGGCATGTGATGTGACGACTGTGATGTATGCGATGCATGTGATTCTAACCGACACGTTTATCTCACCTCTTTCCTCATCCCCTGGTCGGCCAACACGCCCACAGCCACAGCAACAGCAACAGCCCCCTACCCACCCACCTCCCCCCTGGTCCCGCCTTCCCACCATCTACCCCACCCCAATCTCGTTCCTCACCTCTTTCCGTGCCTCCTGGTCGGCCAACAAGTCCTTAGGCAGAAGCAGCACCTGTGCCATGGCCCTCAGCTTTGGGAAGCACTCTCCCGGCCCCCCTGTCACTGCCACTGCCGCCCCTGGTGCCGCAGCAGCACTGGGAGGGAAGCGAGGAGAGGTGGGGTGAGCGGGGGAAGAGGCGGAGGAAGAGGAAGAGGAGGAGGAGAAGAAGGAGGGGGAGGAGGAAGGGGAGGGGTCGGAGGGGTCGAGGGCTCCAGCCCAGAAGGCCGTGGTGGTGGCAAGGAGGGAGGAGGAGAAGGGTGGAGGGGTGGGGAGCGGTGCGGAGGGGTTGGGCTGGGAGGATGCGAGGAGGTAGTCGATCTGAGCGTGCATGTGAGCGTCAAGGTCGTGAAACATGGTGGCCCATGCTGATGTCTGGCACAGGGTGAGGGGGACAAGCGAGGGAAGAGAGGGGGGTGGAGGGGGTGGGAGGAGTAAAGGGGGGGATGTAAGTCAGGGCAAAGTACAGAGCAAGCGCAAAGGCTGCTGCATTACATGTAGTGGAGGTGCTGTGAGACCAAGGCATGGCATGTGGCGTGATGCAATGCAACGCTGTGAGTGACCCATGTGTCCTACAACGATTGGAATCAACCTTCTAAGTCAATCTACATCAGCTGAGAGTCGGTCAACGTGAGTCGCGCTCGGTCAATGCAAATCAGAAACGGTCAACGCGAGGGTAGGCGGATGGACGAGGCAAGGGGGGAAGGCGAGGGAAGGCGAGGGGAGGAGAGGCGAGGGGAAGGGAGGTAAGGGGACTGACGGCGTATTTGAGGTGCATGCCGTGCGAGTAGGTGAGCTTGCCCGTGGCTGTGAATGGCAGGGCTGCAGGCTCGGTGACAGGGTCGGCAAGAGGTTCGGCGGGCGGCGCGTCAGGGTTGGAGCGCAGGAGTGCGTTGAAGATTGCAGAGTCAAGGCGGAGCAGACAGTGCTCCAAGACCTGGTGGGGGGGGGGGGGATGGGGGATGGTACGGTATGGGGTATGGAAGATGGGATCGATGGTGGACTCAAGTTTTGGCACATCTCAAACTGGGAGAGTGCTGAGTCAAGGCAGAGCAGACAGTGCTCTGGTGAGATGGGATGGGATGGGATGGAATGGGATGGTGATGGCATCATGGTATGGTATAGGGGATGGGATGAGGGATGGGATGGTATGACATACTGTGTTCAAGAAAGCAAGCTTAAAACGTGTACCGACTACAGGCAACAACCTAGGCAACAACCCAGGCTGTACCTTGGAGAAAAGGGCCCACCTGCTTCTGAGAAACGCACCCACCTGCTTCTCCAACAGGTACAGGCAGCCGCAGCATCGCCCCATGGCACGCTGCGGGCAGAGGCTGAAGGACGCATCGTGCAGCACCGCTCTCCACCGCTCCACACCCACCAGCTTGCTCCACCACGGAGCCCTCTCAGCGTCTGGTAGGAAGAGGGGTGTGGGATGGGAGGAGATGGGTTGATGAGAGGAGAAGAGGGTGTGGGATGGGAGGAGATGGGTTGATGAGAGGAGAAGAGGGTGTGGGATGGGAGGAGATGGGTTGATGAGAGGAGAAGAGGGGTGTGGGATGGGAGGAGATGGGTTGATGAGAGGAGAAGAGGGGTGTGGGATGGGAGGAGATGGGTTGATGAGAGGAGAAGAGGGGTGTGGGATGGGAGGAGATGGGTTGATGAGAGGAGAAGAGGGGTGTGGGATGGGAGGAGATGGGTTGATGAGAGGAGAAGAGGGGTGTGGGATGGGAGGAGATGGGTTGATGAGAGGAGAAGAGGGTGTGGGATGGGAGGAGATGGGTTGATGAGAGGAGAAGAGGGGTGTGGCATGGGAGGAGAAGGGTTGATGAGAGGAGACATATTGGTAAGATGAACTTGCAGAGGCAGCGGAGAAACTCATAGAAAGCATGGCCACTCTTACTCAACCCATCCCCCCCTCGCCTCCCCGCCTCACCTCCCACTCCTCCTGCCACGGGCGCTGCCGGCTTCTTCTGGCCGCCCAGCCCCAGTGCGCCGCCCACGGTGCTGCCGCCCGGCCACGGCAGGGAGGAGGCGCTGGTAGAGGCGGCAGAGGCGAGGGAGGAGAAGAGAGACGAGGCGGCCGACAGGGTGGACGCGGAGGAGGAGAGAGAGGGGGGCTGGGAGGTGGGTGAGCGGCGTAGGGCGGGAAGGAATACCTGGGGAAGGGAGAGAGTGGGGATGAGGGGATGAAGGGGGAAGGAGGGGATTTAGCATGTGATGTATGTGACAAGGACAGACATACACGGAGGCACTCGTAGAGGTGGCAGAGGCGAGGGAGGAGAAGAGAGAGGAGGCGGCTGACAGGGTGGACGAGGAGGAGGAGGAGGAGGCAGAGGGCTGGAAGTAGGGGGAGCGGCGTAGGGCCGGGAGGAATACCTGGGGGAAGGTAGAGAGGGGTTGAGGGGAGAGGGAAATCGGGAAGAGGGGCCGGGAAGGTGGGAGGAAAGGGGGAGGGTGGGGGATTTAGCATGTGATGTGAGAAGGGCAGACAAGGATTTGAAGGGAGAACAGCAGCATCACGCCTCCAGCCTCCTCCCTCCCCCCTCCTCTTTCCCTTGCTCACCTTGCATCACACAAAATGTTCCTCCCCCCCCTTCCCCATAGCCTCACCTTGCGCCACACGAGCTGCAAGCACCGCTCATGCTGCCACTCCTCCAGCCGCCTCAGCGCCGCCACCACCGCCCCCGGACTCCCCCACGACTCCCGCCCCCCTCCCCCCCCACTCGCCCCTTCCCCTGCCCCTCCACCTCCCCCCTTCCCTCCCCTCCCACCCCTTTTCCCAGGCCCGGAGCCCCCACCAGGTTCGGAATCCGGTTCGGAACCAGAGGAGGTTCGGTCGGAGAGGGGGAAGGAGGAGGAGGAGGAATTGGCAGAGTGGGGCTCATCAGAGTGAGCTTCAGTGGGAGCAATGCTGGCTAATGGCTTCTCGGAGCATGACAGTATTGGACCACCAGAAGAGCAGTCTAGCAGCATCATCAGCAGCAGCTTTGGAGACCAGAGTCAGTGCGGTCACAGCCACTCTCGCCACGCCCCCCACCCTCTCATCCCCCTCATGCACTCGCACGAATGCGTAAGCCCTCGCTATTCGTCTCGCGGGAGTGTGAACTTTCCGGACAGATCCCCCGTGCTCTGGCCGTACAGCATACACTGCCACGTCAGCCATTGCAGCGTCTCTCAAATCCCCGGGCAGCCGCCCGAAATTCCGCTCTGCGCTCCTCGCCCGCTCCTCAGCCTCAGCAGCCCGAGCCAGAGCCTCGGCGACCGAAGCAGCAGCTTCGTCAAGGTGCGTTTTCTCCTCAGCCACCCGCTGCTGCTCCCACTCGAACCGCTCCCTCTCCTCCCTCACCCGCCTCTCCGCTGCCTCTGCCGCCCCTTTCATCTGCTCTGCTTCCTCCCTCTCCCTCCGTATCCTCTCCTCCTCCGCCTCCGACCACGCCGAAAACTCCGCCATTTGGCTCTCCAACTCACTGCACCGCTTCTTATCCATCTCAATCTGCGCGTGCTCCTTCTTGAGCCGCGCGCGCTCGTTCTCAGCCCACACCCTGAGCCGCTGCACCTCGTCCCCCAGGGTCTGCAGGGCTCGCTTCTCCTCCTCTACTAGCTTCTTCTCTGTCCGCACCTTGCGCCACTCAAACTCCAAACTCGATGCGTCCCCCCCTCCCCGCTCCTCGTCTCTCTCCCCTGCCCGCTCCCCCACTACCTTCATGCTCTTGGACTGCCCCAGCACCCCCCGTCCCCCACTCCCGCCCCCGCCCCCGCCAGTACTACCCGACTCCGACCCACTCCCCCCGCCGGCGCCGCCGCTGCTTCCAGCACGGGGCGGCGACGCGGTAACCGCATCGATGCCCAAAGAGCCGCCGACGTAGGGCATGGGCTTCTTGAGGTTGACGGGGAAGAGGTCACCTGCCGGGCTGGAGGGCGACGTGAGACCATATAGCAGCCCATCACTGAACGGACTCATGCCCCCACCACCACCACCACCAGCACCGGGGTCCTTACCGTCTAACGACCGCTGCCGGAACCTGGGGGATTTTGGTGGTGGCGGAGGCAGCGTCTCGAATTCTTCCTCTTCCTCCTCCTCCTCCTCCTCCTCCTCCTCCTCCTCCTCCTCCTCCTCCTCCTCCTCCTCCTCCTCCTCCTCCTCCTCCTCCTCCTCCTCCTCCTCCTCTTGTTCCTCCTCCGGCTCCTGCTGCTCGTCCTGCTCCTCCTCTCCCCCGCCCCGCTCATTGCCATGCTCTCCATACCCGTCCCCATACCCGTCCTCTGCGTACCCATCCTCGTACCCCCCTTGCTGGTCCCCGTACCTGTCGGCCGCACGGCCATAGCTGCCCTGCCTCTGCTCGAACCCAAACGCCTCATCATATTCCCCCTCGCCCCCGTTCATGCGGGCGCCACCAGCGCCATCATCATACCCATCGCCCTCATCACCATCTTGCATGTACTCCCCCTCCTCCTCCTCCCCCTCCTCCCCTTCATCCACTTGTACATACTCCCCCTCTGCATCATCATACCCCCCTCGCCCCTGCCTCCTCTTCCCTTGCCCATGCCCATGCTCATGCCCTTGCCCTTGCCCTTGCCCATGCCCATATCCCCCTTCCTCCCCATATTCCCCCTCTTCATATCCCCCCTCCCCATAGTCCCCCTCTCCCTGCCCATAGCCCTCGCCACCTGGATACCCGCGCCCATGCCCGTACCCCCCCTGCATCCCCCCCTGCTCCCCCTCCTGCTCCTCGCCCCAATAATCCTCTTCGCCTCCCTGCTGCTGCTGCTGCTGCCGCCCGCCTTTCCTTGTCCCCATCCCTCCGTCCGGCCCCATGCCGCCCGCATGCGGTTGCCCCGGCCCGCCCCTCTCGTACGCCAGAGACAGGTCCTCCAATTCCTCCTCCCTCACCTCCTCCTCCTGCTCCTCCCCTCCCATACCCATCCCCCTCCCCATGGCATGGTGCCCGTACATATCATGCATGTCGTGATGCCCATACATGTCCTCCAAGCCACCATCATCCCCATCATCACCATGGGTGCCCTGTGGGTCATGCACGTAAATATCATGCGAATACACGTCATGCATGTCTGCTGCCTCTCCTCCACCACCCCTGCCCTTGCCCCCACCACCCATGTTACCACCCCCAACGTTACCAAAAGCGTCATTCAGGTCTTCAAACGATCCTCCTTCCATCTCTGCTTCCCCCTCCTCCTCCCCAAACCCATCATGCCCCCGCTCGTCCTCCCCCTCCTCCAAACCTTCCCCTCGACCATCATCCCCCTCTTCCCCCTCCTCCCCCTCCTCCCCCTCCTCCCCCTCCTCCCACGCATTCTGCGCCCATGCGTCATCCATCGCCCCATCCACGCCCCCACCAACAGGCAGGGACGCCATGCGACCCCCCAGCCCCCCTTCCCCCGCGCCCCCCGCGCCCCCCGCGCCACCCGCGCCCACCGGCGGCAATCCCCCGGCCCCCGCGCCCTGCGCTCTGGCTCCCCCCGCTGACGCCTGGAACGCGAGGTTAAGGTCCATCTCCCCCCCTGAGAACCGCCTGCGGTCCCTCCCCCTCCCTTTCTCGCTCCTGCCCGCCCCTCTCCCCTCCCTTGCGCTCCCCGGCGCGCCCCTCAAAGTCCTACTCCCCTCTCCCGCTCGCTTTGGCGAACCACTTGCCGAACCTGCCGCCGAACCTGCTGCCGAACCTGTTGCCGAGCCTGGCGTGGAGCCCCCTTGGTCCTCGTACCCTCCAGCATGCCCTCTCCTCGGGCCACTCCCCCGTCTGACCATCTCCGTGTCGCTGCTCTGATTCTCATGCCCCCCTGACGACGCCCCACTGTCCTTCCGCGTATGCTCCCTCCCTGACCCCTTCCCCCCGTGTCCCCCATGCGCGCCGTGCGCCCCGTGCGCACCCCCTGCGCGCATATGTTCCGAATCGCTCCCCCCATGGTCGGAGAGCGGGCCGAGGCGGCTCCCCCCGCCGCCAGTGACAGACCCAGCCGCGTCCGAGTAGCACGTCTCGTCCCCCGACGACCCCGCCGTGTCCTCCGCGTCCTCTAGCGGCTCCAGCTTCGTCGGGTAGAACCGCGGCAGCGCGCCTGCGCCCCCCGCGCCCGCCTCCTCCGCGGCGGCTTCCTTGCTCAGCTTCTTCCCCACGCACTCCACCGTCAGGTGTAGCTCGGGGCGTCCCAGCGCTGCGCCTAGAGACTTGGAGACTTGCACGGGGAGCGCGTGGGGGAGCACGCCGGCGCAGTCCGCGAAGGCGGAGAGGTCGAGCGACGCCTTCCCCAGCGCTGTTGGTTTGGGCTGCGCCGAGTCGTCCGCCTGCGCCTCGTGGATCGAAAACGCCGCGGTTTTGCGCTGGTACGGCGCGCCGGGACCGCCGCGCTCGCGGTACAGCGTGGCGGGGACCTGCGGGGTCGCGCGCGCGGGGGAGGGGAGGCGGAAAGAAGGGGGGACGGGGGGGACGGGAGGGAGAGGAGGAGAGATGAGTGGTAGTTGCACTCTTAGGCTAGGATCAGAAAGTAAGCCTAGTCCAAATGCGAGCGGCGCGAGGCACTCACCCGGAATGTCTGGTCGATGACCACTTTAAACGCGTTCTCGTCCGCGCCGCCCTCGTCGCGCTGCGCGCGCACCGGCTTGGAAAAGCCCGTGCGCTTGTCCCCGCGCTGCCACTGGATGATCGCCGGCGCGCCCATGCGCAGCCACGGGCGCAACTGTGGGGGGGAGGGGGTGCGGGAAGGGGCGGAGAAAGGGGGGGAGGTATGCGCGGAAGGGAGGGCGGAACAATGGCGATTATGAGACGAGGAGCGAGCGAATGTAAGCTTTACGTGGAGAGGAGGGCAATGCAATCAGACGGCAATGCAATCAGCGACTTACCTCGATCAGATGCACTTTAAAGTCGAACCGGATCGCCACTAGCGACGGCGCCGACTGCTTCCCGGACCGCTTCTTCATGGCTTATGTCGTTATAATGTTTTAAATAATATATAATTAGAAAGGGAGCTCGATTAAGGCCGCATTGCGTTCGGCATTAATCTACTAGTTAGTAACAACCGCACGGGAATTAAACCCGAGGTCCATAGGTTTTAAAGGTAGGAAGGTTGGTTGGGACAGGTGCTTAGATTGGTTCGCGAAACGGGCTTGTGCCGAAATTGATAGGCGCGGGTCGCGGAGTCAAATACTCCGATTGGACGAGGCAATTTGGAAGAGAATGAGACTCCGGCTTTAGTTTCGCATTGCCCAAACTGACAAGCCGTCCGACCAGGAGCGTCGACGGACGCACGCTGAGAAATAATTACAAGGACAAGATATCAACGCGTTCGGCAATGCCAATGCTGCAGCCTCCAAACATATTGCACTGACGAGATGGAGCCTCGCTTTCGATATGTTACCGTCTCGAGAATGCCGGGTGATAGGAAGTACCAATTGATCACTGCCTACTACAAGTCACGTCTAGCTACCATCACAGCGCAATGCTGATCTTGAAGCAGCTACGAGAGCTGAATTGGAAAACTAAATTAGTTCCACCTCGCGCTGAGCATCTCGTGACAAAGGTGAGCAGATGGAGAGGACAAAGCACACGTAACAACACTCCGAGTCAAAGCATGGGTGCGTGGGTGGGTGCTGAAAGAAATGGTAACTTCTAGGTGTGGTTGGGTATGTTTGGGTATGTTTGGGACCATCCTGGTTGGGAAGGTACGTGTATCTGTGGTACGAATTTGGTTCGGTTTGGAGGTGCTTGGGTATGTCCCCCAACAACCACGGAACAGAACTCGAGGTGAGGTGAGGCTGTGCGCTGGTCTGGAGTGGGGTGGAGTGATGGCGCGAGGCGAGGTGTGGTTTGGGGATGGCGGAACTGATGTCGCGTACACGCTTTACTGGATATGGGCGAAAGCATATCGCGTCTAGTATTACCCTACTCTTAGTCACTTGTGTGAGAGAAGCAGGTTGCGATGGTGTGAAGTGGTTCTTAAATACTTATAAAGCTAGACAGGAGGGAGGAGCAATGCGCTCCGAACACCTGGCACCAACCATTGCCCAGACCACAGGCAGGCTCCAGCTGTAATTTCCATTGAAGTATACACGTACCTGTCATGGCCAGAAACCAAGGCAGCATGTGCATCATCATGCCAGTATACATGCCCCATATATATTGGGATAGAAAGTATTATATGATTTCCACTTCCATGGGTGTACTCCATGCATCAGAGGGCGGAGAGGCCAACTCTACCCCACCGCCTGTCAACTGAGACCCACTGGAGTTCTCCGGGGCGGCCTGAAGCAGCCGAAGAATGCCGCCCGCAACAACATCAGGCTGCTGGTGCACGGACCTGGCAGGGAGGGCCTCGGCTGTAGCGCAGGGCATGTGACGCAGCATGTAATCTGCTACAGCCGGGGGGGTGGCAGGGTCTCCCTCTAGAAAGAGCATGTGCACTGGGATTGCTACCTGAAGGGTGGAAGGAAGGTGGATGGATGGGGAAGGGGAGGGCGGAGATTGAGGGCAGACACAGGCAACCACATGACCCCCCTCCCCCATGCTCACACGCACCTTCGGCAGCAACAGGATTATCTTATCGCCCCTCTATCTTCGCATCACACTCCCGACACCCACCACCCGCACTTACCTGAGGAAGCACTTCTCGCAGGTCGCAGGCAAAGGTGGTCTTGAGGCATGAGAAGGTGACGTCAGTGTCCTCCCTCCCACCCCCACCCACACCTCCCTTGCCTACACAGCACTTGTAGCAGCACCCTTTTGCGTCCCATCATTCACACTCACCTGAGGCAGCACTTCTCGCAGGTCGCAGGCAAAGGTGGTCCTGAGGCATGAGAAGGTGACGTCAGTGTCCTCCCTCCCACCCCCACCCACACCTCCCTTGCCTACACAGCACTTGTAGCAGCATCCTTTTGCGTCCCATCATTCACACCCACCTGAGGCAGCACTTCTCGCAGGTCGCATGCGAAAGTGGTCTTGAGGCAGGAGAAGGCAACGTCGGGGCGCAGCGAGAAGAGCGGCCGAGTGACCTCCCTCACATGTTGCGCCTTCACATCATCCGCGTTCAGCACCGGTGCACACCCCTTTGTCCACAACTGGGGGGGGAAGGACGGTGTGGGGGAGGAGTAGCAGGAAATATATGGAGGGATTTAGGAGAGGTCTGGGCATGAGAAGAGCGGCCGAGTGACCTCCCACACGTGCGCTGCCTTCACATCCTCCGGGTTCAACACCGGCGCACACCCCTTGGCCCACAACTGGGGGACGAAGGGAGTTTTGGGAGAGATATGGAGGGGTTCAGAGGAGTGAAAAGGTGCAAAGTGGCCATGTCACCTCCCTCACGTGCGCTGCCTTCACATCGTCCACGTCCAGCACCGGCGCACACCCCTTGGCCCACAAATGAGAGTGGGGGTAAGGCCATTGTGGAGAAAGGAATAGCAGGAAAGAACTGGAGGGAATCAGGCGAGGCCTCAGCAGCAGACAGTTGCGTCACTTCCCTCACGTGTACTGCCTGCCTTCACGTCGTCCAGTAACCCACCTAGGTAGGCGCCACCAGTAACACACCTAGGTAGGCGCCACCAGTAACCCACCTAGGTAGGCGCCACCAGTAACCCACCTAGGTAGGCGCCACCAGTAACCCACCTAGGTAGGCGCCACCAGTAACCCACCTAGGTAGGCGCCACCAGTAACACACCTAGGTAGGCGCCACCAGTAACCCACCTAGGTAGGCGCCACCAGTAACCCACCTAGGTAGGCGCCACCAGTAACACACCTAGGTAGGCGCCACCAGTAACCCACCTAGGTAGGCGCCACCAGTAACACACCTAGGTAGGCGCCACCAGTAACCCACCTAGGTAGGCGCCACCAGTAACCCACCTAGGTAGGCGCCACCAGTAACACACCTAGGTAGGCGCCACCAGTAACACACCTAGGTAGGCGCCACCAGTAACCCACCTAGGTAGGCGCCACCAGTAACACACCTAGGTAGGCGCCACCAGTAACCCACCTAGGTAGGCGCCACCAGTAACCCACCTAGGTAGGCGCCACCAGTAACCCACCTAGGTAGGCGCCACCAGTAACACGGGTAGAGGCGACGGCAGAAGCACGGGCAGGCCAGTGAAAGTGCCCAAACCATTCCACCAGTGACAGTGACAGCACGGGCAGGCCAGAGACAGTGCAACATTCTAGAACAAAACCTCTTCCAATTAGCACCCAAACCAGTCCTCTGGCAGCACCTACCCGGAAGTTTCCCTGCATGATGCCGAAGACCTTGTCCAGGTCAGCGAGGCCAAAGCTGCTGTTGTAGTCGGGTGGGGCCTCCAGCAGCCTGCCATGGTGAGGGGTGGTGAGGAGTGGTGAGAGGTGGTGAGGGTGGTGATCAATGCACTGTGGTGATGAGAAGAGCAGGTAATGGGTGGTATGGATAGTGCGGGGGGGGGAGTTGACAGGTGTCTTGATCAGCCAGGTCAGATCGATAATGACTCACCTGGCCCAGGAGGTTGGGGGAGGAAGTCAATAAAGCTATGATGACTGACCTGGGTGATGCTGATGCTGATGGGGATGCTGATGCTGATGCTGATGCTGATGCTGATGCTAATGGGGATGCTGATGCTGATGCTGATGGGGATGCTGATGCTGATGCTGATGGGGATGCTGATGCTGATGCTGATGCTGATGCTGATGCTAATGGGGATGCTGATGCTGATGCTGATGGGGATGCTGATGCTGATGCTGATGGGGATGCTGATGCTGATGCTGATGGGGATGCTGATGCTGATGCTGATGGGGATGCTGATGCTGATGCTGATGCTGATGGGGATGCTGATGGGGATGCTGATGCTGATGCTGATGGGGATGCTGATGCTGATGGGGATGCTGATGCTGATGGGGATGCTGATGCTGATGCTGATGTTGATGCTGATGGGGATGCTGATGCTGATGCTGATGGGGATGCTGATGGGGATGCTGATGCTGATGGGGATGCTGATGCTGATGCTGATGCTGATGCTAATGGGGATGCTGATGCTGATGCTGATGGGGATGCTGATGCTGATGCTGATGGGGATGCTGATGCTGATGCTGATGGGGATGCTGATGCTGATGCTGATGGGGATGCTGATGCTGATGCTGATGCTGATGGGGATGCTGATGCTGATGCTGATGCTGATGCTGATGCTGATGCTGATGCTGATGGGGATGCTGATGGGGATGCTGATGCTGATGCTGATGGGGATGCTGATGCTGATGGGGATGCCGATGCTGATGCCGATGCTGATGTTGACGCTGACGGGGATGCTGATGCTGATGCTGATGGGGATGCTGATGCTGATGCAAACTGCTGATGCTGATGCTGATGCAAATTGCTGATGCTGATGCTGATGCTGATGCTGATGCTGGTGCTGATGTTGATGCTGATGCTGATGCTGATGCTGATGCTGATGCTGATGCTGATGCTGATGCTGGTGCTGATGCTGATGCTGATGCTGATGCTGATGCTGATGTTTATGCTGATGGTGATGCTGATGGTGATGGTGATGGGTACAAGCAAGCAAGCCACGACGACTCACCTGGGCGAGGAGGCGAGCAGCACGATGCGTTTGAAGAGCTTGGGGCGCTCGATGGCTGCCAGCAGTGCGATCATGCCGCTCTGCCTGTGCCCCACCAACGTGCACTGCTGGCCCCAGTCGCCCTGTGCTCACGCATGGACACACACACGGAGACAAGCACACAGACAGACGGAGGGAGTGAGGGAGGAGGGAAGGATAAGAGAGGGACGAGAGGGGAATAGCAGCTGTAACAACTCGAACAGCTTCAACAGCTGTAGCACCTGTAGCACGCACCTCGACGCCCATCTCGGTGAGCAGCTGTAGCAGGTCCTCTGCGAAGCCGTGCAGCGTGCTGTAGCGCTGAAAGTCAAACGCATCGCTGTCTGACCTGCACCGACATGGGGGAATGGAGGGGAGATATGGGGTGGGTCGGGTCGGGGCACATGGGGCGAGTCGGGAAACGTGGGGCGAGTCGGGGCACTTGGGGCGAGTCGGGGCACATGGGGCGAGTCGGGGCACATGGGGAGGGTGGGGGAAAATGGAGGGATGGGGTGAGGATTGACTGATGGGCAGCGAGAGAGACTAGAAAGGGCAGGGGCGAGGGGAGAGGGGAAAGGAGAGAGGAGAGAGGAGAGCGGAGAGAGAGGAGAGAGGAGAGCGGAGAGAGAGGAGAGAGGAGAGCGGAGAGAGAGGAGAGAGGAGAGCGGAGAGAGAGGAGAGAGGGCCGAAAGGGCATGAGGAGCAGGGCCAGCAGAGGGAGAGGATGAAGGGTGGATGGGGCGAGACGAGAGAGAGGGGGCAGAGGTGCATACCCTACAGCACCGGTGAGGTCGTAGAGCACAATGCGGTACAGTGCGGTGTCAAACGATTCCAACACATGCGTCCACATCTGAAGGTAGGGACAGGTAATGCGGAGGCCCGAAGGGACATGGTGAAGCGCATGAACATAGGTTGATGTTCGTTCTCCAAAAAAAAAACAATCAGCGTGAGAATATATGAACGCGTGATCATGGGATCGTGGGAATGTGGGGCATGCATGTCAAGGCAGCAGAAAGCATGTGCATTGGCGCGGGCATGCATGTGAAAGTGAAAGCAGATAGCAGCACGCACGGACTGGTTGAAGCCAAAGCCGTGGGAGAGCACGAGCAGCTCGGGGCCCGTCCCCACGATGCGAGGGACATGCGAGTCTAAGCAAACACGTGCGTGTGGAAGCAGCACGAGTGCGGGCACTCACAGATTGATTGAAGCCAAAGCCATGGGAGAGCACGAGCAGCTCGGGGCCCGTCCCCACGATGCGCACGTTGTGCCTCTCCTGCGCCGTCCGCGCCGCCCTCAGCTTCGCCGCCTGCGCCGCCCTGCACGCGCGCAACAACGCGGACAAGACGCCGTTGTCATGCATTCAGCATGCGACATCACGGCAATGACTCGTGAGGTCACCACGCAATGCGCATGAAATAGCATTAATCACGACTGTTATGCAAAGCAACGCACACGACTATTAAGCATGCGCGACAAGAAAGCACCAACATTCCCGTCCCTCCCACTCCCCACATCCTCCCCTCCTTTCCCGCCAGTCCAGTACCACCGAACAACGGATCTCACGGCTCTTCTAAGCGCATCACTTACCTAAGCGCCACGCTGCTCCCGTGCCCCGAGCCGCCACCGGAGATGGCGCCGGCATGCATGGACGAGCTGCTCATGCCCACCACCACGCCGCCATTCATCGAGTCGCCCCCGCCGCCGCCGCCGCCGCTGCTCCCGTACCCGCTGCTTCCGCCCCCGCAGACGATCCCCCCGCCGCTCAGCACCCCCGCCATCCGCGCATACAGCGGCGGGTTCGTCGGCGTGCCGGCCGCCGCCGCGCCGGCCGTCGCGGACCAACCGCTGTTCCCCCCTCGCGACGCCAGGCTCTGCCGCGACCCGTCTCGCGACTCGTCGCCGTCGAATCCGCGCGGTCCGATCGGAACGGCCTGACCTGCGATGTGCGTGGGCATCACCACTGCTGTCAGGCCGCGAGACGATGAACGCGCCTCGCCGGGATGATGCCGCGCACCCGCCGCAGCGCCACCGCCGGCGGCGCCGCCGCCGGAGGCGCTGCGCGGAGGCGTGGGAATGGCGGTGCGGCCCGTGATTACGGACAAATCGAGCGGCTCGTTTACTTGCCACTCGGAACTGTCAGGGGGCGATCCGGGGAGGAATCCCGACGCGCCCTCCTCGCTCCGCCGTCCCGCTCGATCATCCGCGCCGGACGGCAGCTTGTCCGCGCAGACGGCGGAAGGTTGCGCCCACGCATGCTTCTGCGACAGCGGGATTTGCGCGGGGGACTCGACGTGCCGCTGTAACCCTCCGCTGGATTTTCTCTCGAGCGGCGCCGGCGGCGGCGGAACTACATCCGATCCTAGCTTGTGGCGCGCCGCCGATTCGAGCGCGCCGTTTCTACGACTTCCGCCGGCGGCGCGCGCGTCGTCGAAGAAGCTGTCGCCACGGGGAACGCCTGGGGGAGAGAGGGGCGGCTTGCCCACGCACCCCCCCATTAGAAGCGCGAGAAAAGGCCCGGTTTCCGTATGTGAATGCGATTAATATATCGAGGGCGATTAGAGAAACCGGCTTTGCCGTACCGCGTGGCTTCACTCGGGGAGAAATGGTAACGGGAAACCAGCTCTGGAGCAATCAAAGGCTAAGACAACTTGTTCGCTTTGAAAGAGAGCAGACGTGAGGACTCGAAACAGCAGCTCGGCAGGGAACAACGATTCGCGACGCGTACTTGTTCGAGTTCCGAAAACTTCTCTCGGCGGATAGTAAGTTCCCAGATGGCGCGATGGTGTCGTCGGCCATTGAACATCATCCAGACACCACGAGTCACGACAAACCAACAATGGTGAGACGTGGTTCTAGTACAGTAACTCTCCTATTGTTTTGCTGGCCCCCCGGGTTACGCGGGCGTACAGTAATTGAATCGAACGCACTGAAGAAACAGCGGTCATGGAAATGATCATCCCACAGCCACCCCACCCCAGGCAAATCGAGAGCGTGGCAGTTTGCAGGTGCGCGTGTAGAATGCGGTTCTTTTTGGCGCTATGCCGCCTCAGCGAAAGCTGGCGCTCGTTCGGCAAAGTCTAGCATTCTGAACCATGAACAACCAATCATAGAATGACAGGCAAATCCAGCATGGTTACGACTGGCCAATTAAAGTTCTACCAAATAGCTTCTCGTCCAACCACCGACATGCTCATAGGACCTTTTTCGAACACAGGTGCCAACTTGGCAGTCCATAATTGTTCTTGCCAACACCGTTCAAAATGGTGAGCACAGAGCTGAGCTGGCTGAGGCCCTCGGTGACTCTTAGCCATGAGTTAGTCACCAATCACAGCAAAACTGCCCTGGCAGCTTTTTAACCTCGGCTGGCGTGGCAGGTCCGCTGGGCTGGTCCACCAGCGCAGAGCTTGATTTGATAGAAGGGCGTGAGAGCTTACAGCTCATGAATAACTGTTTAGACTGGTATGTAGAGGTTCAAAGCGGTAAAAAAGACATGCCGCTTTAGAACGCACGATATCGTAATCAACCGCTTTAAACGAACTGAAAGCTAATCAAGCATGACTCGCTTTAGAGTATTACTGTCAGGATGTGAAGTCATATGAGCTTACGACCTACATTTGAGAGTTGCGATGCTACAATGCAAAACGAAGAAACCTGGCATAGCATACGTGTTTCTGAAGAGTGACTGTAATAGGTGCTGTGCTAAAGTGACACCTGGAAAATGCAATCATCCCTCGCTATTATGCACCAGGTCCTCTCCTCAGTCAATCTGTGTATGTCGCATGATCGCTGGACATGACGGACCGGCGAAGACCGGGAAACCCAAATTGGTCAGTTTTCTGTGCAGGAAACTGTCGCCAAATTCTCCTGCAGCTTCTCTTGGTGAATGAAACTCCTCCACCAATCAGCGTCCATAAGTGCACGTGTATGACTTGCAAGCCACGCTAGCCCCCCTCCGCCTAGCACGCCTGCGAAAAAATCCCGTCTGCCAAACTTGGGAGAATTGGTGGTGGGTTCGTTCGGGCTTGGGCCGGGGGGGAAAGGAAAACGAGAAGTGGGGGAAGGAGATTGTGGCAGGAGCTGGTGCGTACTGTACAGTGTCACCCTTCATGCTTCATCCTCCTCCGCTCTTCCGCTCTTCTGTTCCGCTGTTCGTTTTCGCTCTTCTGCTCTCACTTTTCTCGCGCCTCCGCTCCCCCTTGTCCGATCACCTTCCATGAAACCTTCCCCCAAGGTCCCGCGTGGCGGAACAGCACATCTCCCCCCACCCACACCCCCACCACCTCCCCACGAAACCCCTCCGCTCCCCTATGCCTCTCTCCCACCGTCCCTCCTGGTGCTGCTCCGGTGGACCTGCCTGCTGCTTCACATCAACCTTTCCCCCTAGCCGTTTCATTTTCCAGCCCTAATTTCATTCTCACCTTCAGAAGCTGCTCCAGAGCCGTTTCTCTAGGGAGTTATCTTCACAGCACAGCAGTAACCTCACTTCCACATTTGACTTTTCCGATATCGGTTCTGCATGCTTTAGGCCGAATTGCTGTGAATTTCGGGGTAGAGATTAGCGAGGGGAGGAGTAGTATTCTTTGGGAGGTCCTTCAGCTTACCTTGCAGCCATGTCGATCTCCAACTCCCTCATCAAGCCCTCGGTCATCAATGGGTCTGGGGCTGTCGTTTCGCGGGTCTCTGCCTTCGAGGATTTCCTGCCTAATGATTTCATTCAGATGTACATAGGGTCATCTTCAAGTCAGGTTCCTCGCCGACTGTTGGCTGCCGATGGCATTTCATCCGTCAATCTTAAGCTGAAGGGTCTTAGCCGTGGCTTTTATGCCAAGCACCAGCGTATAGTAGCAGGACCGTGCGCGTCGGAAGAGTCTCTGCACGATGGCCTCCCCTCCTCGCAACCCCAGACGATGCAGTTTGTGCTCGGAATGTCAGATGTTCTCTTCGTCTCGGTCGCCACGTTCTCTGGAAAGGTATGTGCTCTTCTTTCTCTTCTCTTCACAATTCGTTTGCCGGATTTTGTTGTAAGTTAATGTTTTACAAACAACGCCCGTTCCACAAACATCGCATGTTCAAGCATCAAATAGCCTTACCCATTTCCTTACTCATTCCTTTCTCATTCCTTATTGCTGTAATTTCAGGAGTACCTGTTCTCTGTGGAGCGGGCTGCGAACCATCGTGTTCGTGACATCAAGAAGCGGATATGCGAGCGCGAGCTTCCTTCGAGTTCGGAAGACGTGGAGCTTGTCCTTGCCGGCACGCCTCTGGAAGACCACTGTCTCATCAACGACTTGGACAAGCATCGGGATTTCGGAGCCGTTGGGTCCTGCCATTTGCATCTTCTCGTGCGGAAGAATGCTCGTGTTCATGCGAAGTCCGGTCCGGGCCGGACAATGGAGCTTTCTGTCAACGCTACAGAGATTGCCTCGTTGCCGTCAATACAGGAGGTTGGCGACGAAGAATGCCCTGCAGCTGTTCCTCTGGCCCTTCCCTGCTCGAGAACCACATCCAGTGAAACAATCCAGCCGACAATGCTTGGAAATCATCCTTCTCTGAAAGGGGAAGGCTTCCGGGCGATGATGAGGGATGTGGGAACCGGCCTTCTCGAAGGCCACGTTCCGCACCTGACTTCTGACGGCTCGGGTGGTACTTACCTCATGTCCGACGCTTCGGGGGCGTCGACAGTAGCTGTATTTAAGCCCATGGACGAGGAGCCTCTCGCTGTAAATTGCCCCCGCGGGATGGCTCCGAGCCTCGATGGGGAAGGGTTGAAACGTGGCACTCGAGTGGGAGAAGGTGCTTTCCGTGAAGTCGCAGCTTACCTTCTGGATCATCCACTGAACGAAGGAGACAGCGAGGGCTACGCAAGCGTTCCTCCGACCACGCTTGTCGGCTGCTCCGCCAGCTTTTTCCCTCGCTCTGATTCTCCGCGGAGTCCTCTGGATGACTTGGAAGGGAAGAAGGTCGGCTCGCTTCAGAAGTTCGTCCAATCGTTCAGCAACTGCGAAGACATGGGACCGTCGCGCTTTCCTGCGTCGGAGGTTCACAAGATCGCGGTTCTGGACATGAGGCTTGCCAACACGGACCGGAATGGTGCCAACATTCTTGTACAGAGGGTCGACGGTCCGAGTGGGGTCAAGCTTATTCCAATCGATCATGGTTATTGCATTCCTGATAAGGTCAGCATCCAGTTCAAACCCCCTTTATTTGTGTGAGTTTGTTGTACCCCCTTTCCCTTTGTTGTTGCACTTGCTCTCCCCTCCCTCCTTGCATTTCTGTCATGCGCCCTTCCTCCATTGTCGTCTTCTGTTTTCCCTTCTCTAATTTGCTCGCTCCTCCATTGTTGTGTTCTTTGTACCTGCAGTTTGAGGATTGCACGTTTGAGTGGCTGTACTGGCCCCAATCCAAGGTTCCCTTTGCTGAGGAGACTCTGGAGTACATATCTAAACTCGATGCCAACAAGGATATTCAGATTCTCAAGGAGAGCGGCTGGTCTCTCAACCCAGCATGCATCAAGGTGCTTCAAGCTGCTACCATGCTTCTCAAGAAGGGTGCATCGGTAGGCAAGACTCCGTTCGAGATCGGATCCATGATGGTTAGAGATGACCTGGATGTTCCTTCTCTGATCGAATCCCTGGTGGAGGAAGCCGAGTCACAGGCTCAGAGGGTTGGAAACCAGTCCTTTGAGGCGTGCTTTGAAGCAGTGTTAGATCAGCTGCTGTTTTAGACAGTCAGGGAGTTGTGAATATAATGTTGTGATTTGATAACATTTCGCACCGTGTTGGGGCTTCTATGTGCTTCAGCAATCAGAGAAGGGCTTCTAGGAGGATTTCTGTCCCCAGGTTACGGAAAGCGCGGCATACAGCTGAGCTTTTGGTGGATGACGAAATTGTCGGTGTGGAGGGTGTTCGATTTCATGGTGACTGACCAACGGGCCAAACCTCTACCTAGCCTCGCCGAAATCGGCTAAGTGGCGGGCAGCTCAAATTACACTACAGCCGTCAGTTCCTAGAGGAAATCGTGCTTGTGGGATGAGGGGTGGTTCGGTTTCGGTCAGCAACTCGGGGGAATAGAAAGAAGAATGATGGGCTGTGATTGGTGGAATTGATTCTACACTGCTTACTGTGGAGTTGCTTCCCCAACCAAAGCTGATTACAGTGAGGCTCGGCTCGACATTGGGCTGTGGTTAGTGGACACGCGCCAAGCCCAAGGGTGACACAACGCACGATCACCCGAGAGAGTCGGGCCAACATCATAGACATGCAAATTAGTCCGGTAACCCTATTCGATGGTATGCAAAACCGTCGATACCCCAGTTCTGCGTCGCAAATTTGTCTGGTAGCGCCACTCAAAACACTGTGTAACAGCTGACGCAGCACAAAAAGGGTGCAATGGGTGCAACAATCAAATGCGTTTTCGATTTCGTTTCATTCGTTTTTTACCACGCTCCGTTCGGCGCCTGAAAAAGATTCCTGCGGGCAACTATTTTGCACGATAATTTTTACAGGAAATTCCGTTAGAATGGAAGTTCACGAAGCTCTTTTTCGTAACAATAAATTGCACCCAATATATTTCTACCGATTACTGCTAGGGCAGGCAGGAAAAAAAAACCCCTGGGGACCTGGACTCATTTCAGGGAGGGATCAACTCTAAAAACGGGAAAGGGCATTGTTTTTAGGGTTGATGCCTCCCCGAGTGCATCCCTTTCCGATTGGGTTTTATTTTTCCTGTCAAAAGAAGTGAACAGTTATTCTCATCTGGCAGAATATTCGCCCGTATATTTCAAAATTAAGCGGAAAGATAAGCGCGGTATAAATCAGTGTGTCCAATAAAACAACTTATATACTAGCGCCATATGTCAATACCTCCAAAACCGAGGTATCGACGGTTTTGCATACAATCGCATAGGGTTACCGTACTATGTTGCATGCCAGTGATGTTGGCCCGAGAGTCTCAGTTCACTGCACAACTGGTTTGGTGCAATTCTTAGGAATGGGACAACAGGGTGCAGTTCGGTGGTCGTGGATTTTAGGGTTGCTCATCCGTAAGTGTGGCGATTAACTTCGTGCAAGGACGGCAGTTACCAAGACAATCCTGAACGCGTTGTCTCCTGATCATGGATTGTGCTAGGTGCATTCCAGCGCCTGGCTTGCTGAACCTAGCTTTCTGAAACTGCTCGTTGTCCCTTCGACTTTCGCGGTCTATCCATTTCGCAGTTCGAATTCCTGACTTGTCTGCCACAATAGCTTCTTGCCGTGTACTTTCTTGTTGATGGCGCGTGGATTTGACCGTAGCGGTCTTATCGTCTTCTTGACCGCTATATACGTCTGCTGTAAGTCGCACTCGTTCTCTTACCCTGGCTAATCTCAATAAGTTCGATCCCAACGACTCGTGCTTGAGAATCATTCCGAAACCGGCAAAGATACTGCTCCTGGGCCGCCTCTCACGTTTCCGCCGTGTCTCGTGTGTGCAGCATCACTATCCTCCCCATCCCTCGCCAACAGCGCCGATTACGCCAACCAAGGTGAGGCTAACAGCCTTGCGTCGCGTCCTTCATCCACGATTTCCCCCATGCGTGCTGTCGCTTTACCTGATTCGCCATTGCGCTTGAGTGCATTCGGGACCGTCTGTCGTTCAGCTTTCCCCTCCCTCTTCCCTGCCCCTTCCCGCCTTCCCGCCATCCCACTGTCCCACGTTCCCGCCTCCCCCCCTCCCCGCCTCCCCCTCCCCTTACCTTTCACCCTAGACTCCGTGCCGCCCACCGACACGTGGAAGGAATCCAAGCCGTTGCTGCCGCTCTCGGGGCAAGCGCGCAACGCCACCGTCCGATCCGGCGTCACCTCCTTCTTCCGCGTCCCCAGCACGTGTGGCGCCGCAAGCGGCGCCGCAGGAGGCGGTGAAGGGCGAGGAGCAGGGGCAGCGGCGGGGTGGAACACAGGGGTGGGCGGAAGCGGCGGGGACGCGCGGTGGTATGTGAATGTGGAGATATGGGGGCTCTTTGCGCCGGGCAACGACACGTCCGTGTTTTACCTGCCCATGCTCATGCTCAACAGCGCTGGCGAAGTGCCCACCGTGCTGGTTACCAACACGCTGCAGTATCGCCTGGACGACCATACGAGCATAGACTACCCCAGTAAGAGCGCGCATGCAAGTTTGACGCTGAATTGGATTCCATGCAAACAACACCACCTTTTCGCCCACCCATTCGCCCACCTCTTTGCCCCAGCTTCAATGCCATCTGCTCTTCTCCCGTCTTTCTCCTCCCGCCCCGTCCCTCCCGCCTTTTCCCTCACGCCTTTTCCCCACCACGTGTCTCCCCCCATTTTCCGGAGCAGATTTTAGGTCGGGGCAGCCGTACCAGATAGTGAGCGTGCTGCAGGACGACCTCGTTAAGAACGGCTCCGTTAACGCGACGGGGCTGATAGTGGGCATATTCAGCGACTCGTACATTGCGGAGGGGCAAGACCTCGGCTTCTCCATCCGTGCCTTCTGCTCCCGTGAGTGCCCATTCAAGTCAAAACAGACCATGCCTTTCTCCTCCAATGAGCATTACTCGAGTGCTCAATAAAGTCCTGTCACGCCTCCTGCTCTGATGAGCGAGCATGTGTTGTGTCCCATCTGCCATCTCGATACGTGTTTACCTCACCACGCCCACATGCCTTCCAGTTGCTCCTGCCTCCCCTGCTCCTCTGCTTGCTTCTGTGTTCGTCCCCCGCTTCCAGAATTCGTTCTCCATCTCCCCATGCTCTTCAATTTGAATATTTCCGTCATTCTCTCCCAACGCCCTCCCCCTTTTCCCTACGTGCCCTGCGCGCGCAGAGGGCAGGGGGTGTCCGCTCAACTGCAGTGGGAGGGGCGTGTGCGGGGGAGGGGGAGTGTGCCAGTGCCCCAAGGGGTGGGGCGGCACTGCTTGCGCCGATGGTGAGACGCAGGGAATGGGGGCGGGATTGCGGAGGATGCAGGTGAGGATGGGCGTGAAGGTGTGCGGGGAGGGAGGGAGGGAAAATGCGGGGAGGGAGGGGCAATTGCATTCTACGGTCTACCGTCCCTCCTCCCCGTCTTCACCTTTTCGCTCACTTCACTGTCGTCGCTGTCCTACTTGCTCGCACCAGATGCGCGCTTGCATTCCGTCCACCCACCAGATGCGCGCTTGCATTCCGTCCACCCACCAGATGCGCGCTTGCATTCCGTCCACCTCTCAATCAACGGTTGCCATTCTCCTGTTCCTGTCAATTGTGTGTGCCGCTCACCCCATTTCTCCCCACCTCACTCCATCCCACCCCATTTCACCCATCACCCCATTGCACCCCTTTTCACCCCTTTTCACCCCTTTTCACTCCTTCTCACCCATTGTCACCCCTTCTTATCCCTCAGTGGTGCATGACATCCAGCCGGGTCTGCAAACCCTTGCTCCCGGGCAATGGGCCTTCTTCCAGATTGAGGTGGGTATTCTTTTCTACCCTATTCAAGTGCCTCTCCCCCGGTTCCCCATCCACATGTCGTGTGCACCCTCCCCTTCCCTGCCATCCCATCAGTATCCTGCTACAGCCTCTCGATGACATGACTTTTGAGTCGACTCAAAAGTCCCTCCCTTCCCTGTCATCGGTATCCTGCTACAGCCTGCCTACGTCGCCTGTTCTTCCCTCCTTGCATCCCCTTTTCCTCTCCCTTCTTGCCCTTTTCGCCCTCCCCCCTCCCCTTCCCGAGGTGACTCAGCCGCACACCTAGCTGCTCTTCCTAATGGAGCGAGCCGCGGGCGACCTTGACTTATCCGCCCAGCGCCAGGAGCTGGGCTTCCTGCCGTGACTTTTGAGTCGATTCAAAAGTCACCTTTTTTTACCTAAAAAACATAGTTGCTGCCACGTAAAGTCATGGCACCTAATTGGGGCCCACTCGACCTTGACTTACTCGCCCAGCGCCAGGAGCTGGGCTTCCTGCCCTTCCCTCGTGCTCCCTTCCCCTCCTCATTCCGCCACCACCCTGCTGCACCCCCATACCCCAGGTCACCCAGCCGAGCACCAAACTTCTTATACAGATGAAGCGAGCAGCGGGCGACCTTGTGCTATTCGCCAAGCGACAGGAGCAGGGCTTTCTGCCCTTCGGCATGCCCACCGTCTTTGACTTCAACGGCTTTGCTGACATGGACTCCTTCCGCCACCACCTCCCTGCTGCATCCCATTCTTGGCTCCCCTTCCTTCTTACCCCTGCTTCCCTCCCTTCCCCCTTTCCCCCCCTCTTACGCCCTCCTGTTCCCCCCCTCCCCCCATTCCTCCCCCAGGTGACCCAGCCGAGCGCCAAGCTCCTAATCCAAATGGAGAGGGCAGCAGGGGATCTTGTCCTATTCGCCAAGCGCCAGGAGCAGGGCTTTCTGCCCTTCGGCATGCCCACCGTCTTTGACTTCAATGGCTTTGCCGACATGGACTCCTTCCGCCAGCGCCTCGACCGCCACCAAATCGTCTGGAACCGCACTGAACCGGGGATCGTGCTGGTGGCCGTACTGAACAACGACGTGGATTTGAGGGAGACGGGCGGGTTTCGGCTGGAGTATCGGCTAGCAGTGGGGAGGGAGGGCAGGGCGCTGTGCCCGTGGGACTGCGGGTGGCCCGCAGGGTTCTGCCAGGCGCTGACGGCGGATGGAGGGGGAGGTGGGGGAGGGGGAGGGGTTGGGGGCGCGGAGACGCAGTGCGTTTGCAATCCGGACTCTGCAGGAAGCTTCTGCCAGGGAGGTGAGTGGCGGGGGCTGTGCTGTGCTGGTGGCCGTGCTGAATAACGATGTGGATTTGAGGGAGACGGGCGGGTTCCGCCTCGAGTATCGGCTGGCTGTGGGGCGCGAGGGCAGGGCGCTGTGCCCGTGGGACTGTGGGTGGCCTGCGGGGTTCTGCCAGGCGCTGGCGGTGGATGGAGGGGGAGGTGGGGGAGGGGGAGGGGGAGATGGGGGCGCGGAGACGCAGTGCGTTTGCAATCCGGACTCTGCAGGAAGCTTCTGCCAGGGAGGTGAGTGGCGGGGCGTGGACTGGCATGGAGGGGAGCAGTGAGAGGGTGATGTTTACACCAGCAGAGAGAGTGAGCGGGGCAGTGAAGGGGCGAACGGGGCGCAATCCTTTGTTGATGTCTCTTGTCATGTCACCCTCGAGCTTTCATTCCCTGCAGTGGCACAGGGCTGCAGGCAGCACAGCTGGGCAAGGCAGTGAAGGGCGTGCTGCCTCTGCGCCATCTGTTTCACACGCTGCTGTCCCCTCCCCTCTCCTCCTCTGCCCCCATTTCTATCTCACCGCATCACAGGGCTGCACACGGCACAGCTGGGCAAGGCGGTGAAGGGAGTGCTGCCTCCGGCCATTCGTTTTTCATCTCTTTTCAACCTCCCCACTCCCCCCACTCTCCGCACCCCTCCACCCTTTCCATCTCCCGCTCATCACAGGCCTGCAGACAGCAGAGCTGGGCAAGGCAGTGAAGGGCGTGCTGCCTCCGGGGCGATGGACGTACGTGCAGTTCACCTTCGACCCCACCACCAACAAGCAGATCGTCATCAGGTGAGCCTTCAGGTGATTTCAACAGAGACCCCTCTGCGGCACTGGACCTATGTGCAGTTCACCTTTGACCCCATCACCAACAAGCAGATCGTCATCAGGTGAGCCTTCAGGTGATTTCAACAGAGACCCCTCTGCGGCACTGGACCTATGTGCAGTTCACCTTTGACCCCATCACCAACAAGCAGATCGTCATCAGGTGAGCCTTCAGGTGATTTCAACAGAGACCCCTCTGCGGCACTGGACCTATGTGCAGTTCACCTTTGACCCCATCACCAACAAGCAGATCGTCATCAGGTGAGCCTTCAGGTGATTTCAACTGAGAGGACTATTGTTTTTCTCACGGTGCAAGAAACCATTGACACTCTCCTTTTCTCTCCCCGCTGCCAACCCATGGACCCCTCCTCCTTCTCATACCTCCCACTTGTCCCCGTTCCAGCTTCACCTGCGCGTGGCCACTTCCCCCCACAGTAACATTGGCACATGCCATCCCGACTAGAGAACGGCTACCCTTTCATTCAGGGTCCGCGTGACGCGACCAACGACACGCTGCTGCTGTTTCTCTCCTTCCCTTCCCATCATGTGAACCCTCCCACCCACCCTCCGTTTCCCCTCCCTTCCAGCTTCACGCGCAAGGGAGGGCAGGCGAGTCTAGTAGCGAGACAAGGCGCGGTCCCCTCCCTACTGGAGAATGACTACCACTTCACGGTGCGCGTGACGAACGACACGCTGCTGTCCCTTTCCTTTCCTTCCCATCTCTTGGCCCCGACCCACCCTCAGCTTCACCCGCAAAGGAGGGCAGGCCAGTCTAGTAGCAAGACAAGGCGCCGTCCCCTCTCTCCTGGAGAACGACTATCGGTTCACGGTGCGTGTGATGAACGACACGCTGGTGTCGCTGTTTGACGTGGTCAACTCATCTCGTCCCTGGAGGGGCAAGCTGACCAACGCCCAACCGCACGCTGGTGTCCCTTGCTCTCCTGCTGTTCCCATGTCTTGCCCCCCACCCACCCCCAGTTTCACCCGCAAGGGAGGCCAAGCCAGTCTAGTAGCAAGGCAGGGAGCCGTGCCCTCTCTATTAGAGAATGACTACCGGTTCACGGTGCGGGTGACGAACGACACGCTGGTGTCTCTGTTTGACGTGGTCAACTCGTCGCTGGAGGGGCCCTACACCTTCGGCATCTTTAACCTCAACTACTACGTGCACCAGCAGTGCGAGTTTGAACTCGAATTCAAGTACAAAGGTTAGTTGAGTAGAAAGGAGGGTAGACGCACAAAGGAGAGTGGGAGTGGGAAGGGGTGGGGTCACGGGCAAAGGGGAGGGGCCCTACACCTTTGGCATCTTCAACCTCAACTACCACGTGCACCAGAGCTGCGAGTTCGAGCTTGAATTCAAGTACAAAGGTGCGGTGGTGTGCGGTGATGTGTGGTCCCGTGCGGTCGTGTGCGGTCATGTGCGGTCATGTGCGGTCATTTGTTGTTGTGTGTCTCCCCTGCTTGCATCTTCAACCTCAACTACTAAGTGCACCAGAGCTGCGAGTTCGAGCTCGAGTTCAGGTGCAAAGGTGGGTTCAGGTGCAAAGGTGGGTTCAGGTGCAAAGGTGGGTTCAGGTGCGAAGGTGGGTTCAGGTGCAAAGGTGGGTTCAGGTGCAAAGGTACTATTTAGTGCAAATGTGTGTCCGAATACCCATGCAAGGTGGGTTCTTGCCTGCTCGTACATATTTACACATGCCCTCCCCACTACTCACCCTGTGCTCTCGCCCCCTCTGCACCCCACAGACTCCCCCAGCTTCTTCGACTCGCCCTACATAATCATAATCTACACGGTTCTCGCCTTCCTGCTGTCTTGCTTCTCGTTCCCTTCCCTTTTCCCCCCTTGTGCCATGCCCTCCCTCGCCTCCACCCCCCATTCCCCCCAACACAGACTCCCCCAGCTTCTTCGACTCGCCCTACATAATCATAATCTACGCGGTTCTCGCCTTCCTGCTGCTCGTGCTCATCGTCATCGTGCTAAGATGCGTCATCCGCCGCCCGCCCCCCGCCGCTGCTGACGTGGAGCTCTCCGCTCTCGGTGACATGGACAGGGTGAGTGCTGAGGTGGACAGAGTGAGCGCCGATGTGGACAGGTGCTTGGTTTAGACAGACAGGGTTTGTGACGAGTGGCAGTGCTATCGCTCCCCCACCCGTCCTCCTCTTCCTGTTGTCCATGTATATGCCCATTATTGCTTGCATGTTTCTACTTCCACGTCTACCGCCCCGCTCCTCCCTTCTTTCCCATTCCTGCCCTTGCCGCCCCGCATCAGCACGTGGAGGCGGTGCCAACAGGCGTGGACAGGGCGCTGGTGGAGTCGTTCCCGCTGGTGAAGTTCCGAGACGACCTCTTTGAATCCTCCGATGACGCACAGTGAGTGCCGCATTCCCCCGAACAATGCGTGCTCACCAATGTGCTTCTAGCATTGCTCGCCTGCACTGCACTGCACTGCGTCGCTTCCTTTCTCAGCATATTACGCCTTCTCTCCCATTCCCTGTCTAACCACACACGTGCATGCCATTTCCACCCCTGCTATTTGTCTCCATCATCCCCCTCTCTACCCGTCGTCCGGAGCACTCGTACCCTTTTCCTCTCAGTGGCCCATACTGCATCCTCCCATCTCCCTCTACCTTCCCTTTTTTCCCCTAGTATCTCCTCATCCCTCATTCCTCTTCTTCCCCCTCTCCCCCCTCCCACCTCCACCCCTTCCCCACTCCAGCTGTGCGGTGTGCCTAGCGGACTATGACGAGCAGGAGAGTCTGAGGAAGCTGCCGGCGTGCAGCCACTACTTCTTCATCCTCATTCCTCTCCCTCTCTGCGCTCCGCCTTCTCCCCCCTTCTCCCCTTCCCCTCGCAGCTGTGCGGTGTGCCTGGCGGACTACGACGAGCAGGAGAGCTTGAGGAAGCTGCCGGCATGCAGCCACTACTTCCACGTGTCGTGCATCGGGGAGTGGCTGCGCACGCGCTGCTCCTGCCCCCTCTGCCGCCGCTACGTGCTGCTGCAGCCGCCACAGCCCCAGCAGCCAGAACAGCCACAGCAGGCAGCGCAGCCCTCGGCCTTGCAAGCAGAGCAGGCAGGGCCACTGACGCAGCCCACACAGGCGGAGCAGAACAGCCGGAGGTGTGCGGAGGAGGGTCAGTCGGAGCAGCTGCTGCCAACGCAGTTGGGGCAGAGCAACGAGAGGTCTGAGGAGGAGGAGTCGGAGCATGGAGAGGAGGAGCAAGTGGCAGAGCAAGGGCAAAATGCACATTCACATGGGCTTATAAAGGGCAGTGAGATTATACAGGGTGCTGGGGAGGATTGTGCTGTGCAGCGAAATGGGTGTGGGGGAGTTGTATCTGCCAAGGAGCAACAAGGGGAGGCTCAGGTGGATTTGAAACAGCGGCTACAGGAGAACCATCAGCAACGGCATGAGGAGCAGGTGGATGGTGAAAGGGATGGGCAGTGGCATGAAGAGGAGAGACTGATGAAGCGGGAGGGGGAGGAGGGGATGAAGCAGGAGGCATGTGAAGGGGAGAATGATGTGATTTATAACCCAGAGCCAGCTCTAGAAGGCTTGTTGGAAAGAGATGGAAGGCAGCATGGGGAGCGTCATGGGGAAGTTAATGCAGATCGGGCTGAACATGCGTGCATTAGCAGGATGCCATAAGGCATCACATATAGGTACGATTCCTGTTTATAGTGATGCTGAATGGAATGTGAATGTTCGTGAACACAATAGAGCTGAGATACTTTATATATGTCTGTGTGTGGTGCTTTCATATAAATGAGATTTTTTTGCTCGCGTTACATGTACCGTAGCGGACTGAAATCATTGCCACCCCCGGCGAATGAGATGTGTGGCGAACTTCAGCTCCATTGCATAACGAGTTGCGTTGCGATGGAAAACCAGGACTGCGAAGTGTCTAGCATCAATCCAACGTGGGTTCAAGAAAGTTTCGCTTCACCTCCGCTTCGCCTACAAATTATACGAACGACGTAGAAACGAGTGTCACGGTAACACGCAGCGTTCGCAAATAAATACCAGCGCACGTAACGAAGATATCGATAACCTTCCAAGCAAGCCGAGCCGCTCCGAACCAGCGACGAATCGCGCGGACCCATCACATTCCCCCGTCGCACATTGCTGAATTTGCATAGCTCTGGTATTCCAAGCCAAGCCATGACCTGCCCTTGGTCATTTGCGCCTCGACTTCCCAAACCTGGGGGCGCTTGTTTTGAGAGATCTAGGCTTGAACATGCTCACTTCCCCAGCAGCAACCACCTCGCCGCAACTGTTTCTGCGATGATAGTGCAACCTAACGCTCATGTCAGCACGCGACTCTGCTCACTGCCGTACATACATATTACATATCCATCCATACCCTTTTATTTCTTCGACAGTGGTACATCGAGGCATGGATATCCGCCGCAGCCCTGTTCAGATACACGTAGGCTCCGTAGTCCGTACAAAGTATCAGCCTACGTGGCAGGGGCTTGGGGTAGGGGAGGGGAGGGTCCGGGGGGGTTCCTCCTTAGCATCGTCGACTGAAGCGTGGCGAGGCGAGTCGATCTCCGAACAGTGAGACCGAGCGCAGCAGGCCTACCAAAGCAGAGAGAAATAGAGCACATTAGGTTAACTTATGGGCGACGATGAGACGGCCACACACGGTTAGGCAGGTAACGAGCCAAGCCAACAGCACCTTCCCTGCATCACGCGAGTGAGCAGCAACCAACAGTGTCAGGCGAGGCAGCAGCATTTGGTGCCGCTTAGGAGGAACAACGGCTCTAGGTTCGAGTCAAGTTAGAGATTGTTCTCTCTCAACACAGTGCTCGGCACAGTGCTCGTCAGCAGTTTAGCTTCTCTCGGAACGCAACTGCTCTCACCGAGTTGCCTTTTTTCCCGCAGCTGAACGAGTCGACGAACAGCCGACGGCGCTCCGTCCTGATCAGCACGGCTTGACGAAACCGATGCGAGGGTTGTGTCGATCTAGTATAGCCGGCTTCGTGAATAGACTTGTTCCATTAGCAGTCTCGTTCGGTAAAGCTTAGGACAACGAGTTCTTCCCCGTCTCTCCTCTTACTAGCCTCGGGTTCTCGCGACCGCCCCGTCGCATGGGGTCGGGCGACACGCCGCAGGCTGCGAGCCTGTAGCTTCCCTCACCCGCGTTCCGCTAGAACCGAGTAATACCGAACTCGAGCCCGGAGGATTAGCGACATGGCATGGAAGATCCAGGTTAGTTCGCACGCGTCGCACGGCGTTTATCGCTTCGCCTCTACTGCTTCGCGACTCTCGGGTTACATATCACCTCGTATGTACTGTGAGGGGTTGTAGCATCTGTATAAATCACACACGGGCGACACGTGTCTGATCTGAATGTGCTCACCCGTAATTCCTCCCTTTCCATCTCGCCCCCTCCCCCGCCTCGGGTGGCTGTGCGACACGCGATGGTGTCGCCCGCGGGCCAGTCGTCGCACAAGGTTCACCACGTCGACCCGAAGCAGCGAACGAGGTAATCTTGCGGGTTGTGAGGCGCCTCGATCATATCGCGTGCGACCCGTCACAGCCACAATCATTAGAGCCCCGTGTTTCAGTTACCTGCTTGACGTTTCCATCAGAACTTTGCTAGCCCCCAACCAACCACCTCTGCCGTGCACCCTCTTTCCCTTCCCCTTCCCCCCACCTCCATCCCTCGTCTCCGCCAAACTAACATCCCACCAACGTGTGCCTCCCACGTGTGCACCGATCTTCCCGCATCAGCTCTACGAAGCACGCCCCCCGTCGCAGTCGCATGCGATTCCTCTGCGGCGTTCCCTGCATGGACGCTGTCGTCGACGACGACGTGTGCGACAACGCGCGACTGGCAACACCAGACACTACCGCAGCGGTCCTCCGCAAGTCCGCGCAAGCGGAAGGAGCTGCGCAACACGGGGAAGGAATCCTCCCCAGGCTGCCTGTCCCCAGGCTCGGCAGCGGAAGCCCCGCGGGGCGTCGGGGGAGCGGCGGCGTATGCCAAGCCGCGGGCGCTGCTGCGCCTTCCGCCAACGGCACCGCTGGCGGAAGCCACGTGGTAGCTGGTCGCGCAAGCCGCAGCAGGCACGGCAGCGGAAGCGGCGGAGGGAGCGGGAGTAGCGGGGGGCTGGACGAGTGGGTGGGGGAGAGGAGCGAGCGGTGGTTGGGCTCCAACGGCTCTCACGCGGGAAACGCGGCGGAATCGGCGGGAGAATCGTCAGACGAGGACGACGCGAGCGACAGCGGGATCATGTTCGCTGGGGCCAAAGCGGAGCTCGCTGAGCGCATTTGGCGGCGGCAAGTGCGGGGAGCAATGAGTAAGGAAGGTGCGGGAAGGGAGGGGGAAGCGGAGGAGGGGACGCGAAGGGACGAGGGCGCAAGAGATGAGGGGCGCGGGAACGATGCGCGCGCAGGGGAGCGGGAGCGTCGGGGGGAGGAGGTGGAGATGATTCGACTGTTGAAGGAGCGGAAAGAGCGGCAGCAGCAGCGCCAGCAGCAGCAACAGCAGCTGCAGCGGCAGAAGCGGCAAGGCCTCTATCCGGAAACGGGTGGCATGGGCACAGAATGCGGCAGCTCGGCGAAACACTATATCGAGGACACGACTCGCCGATTAGCGGAGCACGAGGATAGGGGGGACGAGGATGGGAGGGGAAGGGGGCATGAAGATGGGGGGGATGTGGGCAGCGGGACGAGCGGCGGGCGGAACTATTGGCGGGAAGTGGTGCGCCAAGGCTGCGCTGAGCGCGGGGAACACGGCGGGATGGCGCAAGCGGAGGCGCGGAAACAGATGGCGGAACCCGCGCAGAGGAAGGCGGAAGCGCAGGGGAGGGGACAAGCGGGAGTGGAGTCACGGGGGGCGGAGGCGGAGGGTAACACCTGCGACAGTGCGAGGGACAGTGAAGAGAGTGCTTTTAGCGAGGATAGCTGGGAGAGGAGCGGGGAAGAACGCGCGAGGGAAGAACTTGGGGGAGTCGACGCGCGCGGGGAGGGGGAGAGACGGGGTGGCGCAGGAGAAGAAGCGGAAGAAGACGTAGACGCGCTAGAAGATGATTCGTCACCCGTTAAGAAGCTGTGGCAGGGGCTTATGGGTTCAACGGGTGCTGGTGACACCACAGTTGGAAGTACTAGTGGTGCTAATGCTGATTGTACTGTACCTGGTCTTAGCGGCGCTGCTGTGTCTGCCGCTGCTGGCGGCGGCGGTAGCAGCGGCGTGTGCGGTGGGGGACAGGGGGGCATGACGCCTAGGCGACGCGCGAAGATGATTCGACTGCTGGAGGAGGTGAGGGAGGAGGAGGGGGAGGGGGATGAGGCGGAGAGAGAGGAGGGGAAGAGGGAGGATGAGGGGGAGAGGGAGAAGGAAGGGGGGGAGAGGGAGGAGAAGAGGCAGAAAGGGTTGGGGAATGAGATGATGAGTCCTGGTAAAGGGGTGGGTTGGCAGGGGGCGAACATGGAAGAAGTGGGAGAAGGAGGAGGAGAAAGCGGGGAGGAGAGGGAGACTGGGTTTGACGAGAGGGAGATGGGTTTTGAGGAATCGCTTGGTGTGTGGAGAGCGAGAGAGGAGGCATCGTGGCGCGAGAGGGTGGCGGGGTGGGAGGAGCGGAGAGGGGGCGAGGCATGGGCGGAGGAGGATGATGGGGACGAGGGAGAAGGGGAGGGAGAGGGGGAGAGGGAAGGGTCAGAGCTTGTGAGAGAGGGACGAGAGGAGCAAGGGGAGTCGGTTGGAAGGGTTGGGGTGGTGGAACAGAGCTTGCAGTGGTTGGGTTCGGTTCTACAAGAGGAGGGAGGAGGGATGGAGAGAAGCAGAGGAGAGAACGACAGAGGGCTGGCAGTACAGTACGAGCTTACAGCACAGCATGACTTAACAGCACAGCAAGAGCATTCACTCACGTCCTCCTATGTGACCTTCGACTCACAGCCATCGCCCACACCATCCGGTTCCGATGCAGCTGACACAGCAACATCGGCTCTAGCACCCGCCCCCTCCCTCTCCCCTCCAACCTCCTCCACTGCTCCCTCCCTCTCCCCCCTGACTTCTTCCACTGCTCCCTCCTCCCCTCCGCTCCTCACTGCTTCCGCCCCTGCCGACCCTGCGCCTCCTCGTGCCGCCGAGCCTCCATTGCCGAGCCTGAACCCGGTGGAGCCGAGCCTGGCGGCGGTTCGGCCGAGGCTGACGTCGAGTGTGATTCGGAACGCGCACCGCAAGGTGGTGGCACAGCGAGTGGCAGCCACGGCTGAGGCCAGAGCTGCTGCTTACGCCGCTGCTCCTGCTCCTCCTGCTCCTCATGCTCCTCATGCTGCTCCTGTTGCTTCTGCTGCTGCTGCTGTTGCCGAGAGTCGAACTGCTGAGAATAGAAGTGCAGGGGCAATGTCTAGTGCACCCGGCGCTGTTGCAGGTGCCACTGTCACAGCCACTGCACCTGCTGCTAGCACCCGTGCCTCTGCCCTCGCTGCCTTGGCCGCTGCTCCCACTGCTGCCGCTTTTGCTGGTGCTGATGCTGGCGCTGATAGTGTTTCTCAGGAAACGCCAGCGGTGCAGTCAGGTGCAGAGGTAGCCGGAGCAGTTGCCTGGGCTGCAATAGAGAGTGACAGAGTGGAAGGTTGCGAGAGAGGGAGGGGTGGAGGGGAGCAGCAGGGGCGGAGAGGCGGTGAGGAGGCAGGGCGGGTAGAAGGTGATGCAGGGGGAAAGGGAAGCAAGGCGGGGAAGGGCGGGAGGAGAGAAACAAAGAAAGGCTGTGGGGTAGTGAAGGAGAAGAAGGGGCGAGGGGTTAAGGGTGGTGGTGAGGCGTGCAGAGGGGAGGAGGAAGGGAATGGGCGTGGCAAGGCTGGGGTAAGAGAGACACAGACAGCAGCAGCAACAGCAGCACCGTTGGATCCATCATCCTTGCAATCTCCATCGTTGGATGCAGCAGCGGGAACAACAGCAGCACCAGCAGGGGAGAGTGCCAGGTTCCCCCCAACACCATCACAGCAACCAGCATCAACAGCCATCCCACCGTTAGTAGCACCAGAGGCTGCAGTCACACAGCCGGGTTACCACCTGCCCTCTCGCACGTCCTCTCACTCTCTTTCCTCCACCTCCATTCCCCCCCATGCTTCCACAGCCACTGCTGCTGCTGCCGCCGCTGCTGTTGCCCGCTTCCTTGCAGCAGCAGACTCCCAGCTGCAGCAATCCCTCTCTCCCTTCCCTGCACCTCCTGAAACCACTGGTAACCCTGTTACACAGGAGAATGGCTATCCGTGGTACACTCCTCACCACCCCTCTCAACCGTACTTCTACGTACCATCCCCATTCACACCCTATCCCACCACCGCTCCCAACCCCCCTGGATCTTGCTTCCCTCTCCGAGCCATCTCCCTCGGTGCCATCAACACCCCCCTGCACGCTCCGAACCTCTTTTTCCCAGGCTCGGACCCGAACCGCGCGAACGCAGCAGCAGCTCCTGCTGCTATAGCTGCAGGCTCGGCACCGAGCCAAGATGCACCTGGTTCGGGCTCAGCCGGCGCCCAGGGTTCAGCCCAGGGGAGTTGTCTGTCCCATCCACCCGAAAATGCTGCTTCCTCCCACCACTTCCCTACACCTGTTGCTGCTGCTGCTGCCGCCTTTCCTCCTCGAATTCGCTCACTCACTGCCATTGGTGCAGGCACAGAGAGAGACAGCACCACTGGTGCTGCTACTGCTGCCGCTGCTGCTGCAGCAGCAGGGTCTGGAACGCAGTGGTCTCCCTCCCCTGGCCCCTCACACCCCGCTCTCCCCGCCTTCCCCCCACGAGTGTACTCCCTTGGTGCTCTTGCCTCGGCACACCAGCATCAGCAGCAGCAACTGTACCAGCAGCAGCAGCAACCTTACCAGATGCAGCCTTTCCCCATGCCTTTTCACCACCCATATGCCTATATGCAAGGTTACAACGGTTACACCCAGGGATACAGTGGTAACCCGCAGTTCACGCAGGCGTTACAGCAGCCAATGATAATCAGCGCCTCTTGTGCTGCTGATGCAGTGGCTGCTGCTGCCGCTGTTGGATCCAGTCACTTGGATCCGCAGCTAAGACAGCAGGCAACACAGCAGCTAGCACAGCACCCACCACAGCAGAAACAGCAGGCGAAAAAATCCATTCAGCCTCAGCCTCACCAGCAGCAGCAGCAGCAGCAGCAGCAACACCCTCAGCCTCAGCAGCAGTCGAAGCAGCCGCGGAAGTCATGCCTCAAGAAGGGGTCAAAGCAGAGCCAAACTCCCAAGACATCGCCGCAGGAGGCAGGTGCAGCTGCAACAGCACCAGGCAGGCCAGCAGCAGCACGTGCAGGGACAGCAGCAGCACCCAAGGACCCAGCATCAGCATGCAGAGGTGGAGTTACCAGCAGCAGCAGCGGTGAGCAGGGGGCAGGGCAGAGACAGTACCTGGTGCTGGAGCTGTCTCCGCCAGAATCTACCGACTCTGCCAATTCTGCCGCCGCTGCCACTACTGCTGCTACTGCTGCTGCTGCCGCCGCGGATAGTGCTTATGCTGGCCAATCTGATGCCTTGCCTGCCGGATTTGGCAGTGGAAGCAGCGGCAACGGAGCAACTACCAGCGCCCTCCCCTCCAACGCACTGCCGCCTGGGCACAATGCATTCCCCTTCCCGCCCTTCCATCCCTCCTCCTACCACCCCTCCCCCTACCAACCTTTCATGGACCCATACACAGGGCTGCCCTGGGGGATGGCTCCACCAATAGGAGGGAACCACGTGGCAGCACCTGGTTTCAGTGACCACCAGCCATGGGTGATGCATCCCCAGGAGCAGCAAGTTTCTTTGTCCGCTGCGCAGAGCGGTTGGGGTGCTGACGGTTGGACTGGTGGTAGCACTGAAGGATGGAGTCAGGGTGAGGGTTTGAAAGCAGGTGGTGCTGGTGCTGCGCTTCCTGCGCATGTGGGTGCAGGGGCGGAGGGATTTGAGGTGCATACAGGGGTGGAGGGATTTGAGGTGCATACAGGGGTGGAGGGATTTGAGGTGCATACAGGGGTGGAGGGATTTAAGGTGCATGACTCGGTGACGCTGCTTCCAGATGAGAACAGCAGTGGTGAGAGCTGTCAAGTCGAGGGTGGTAATGGTGCTGTCAGCGGTGGTGGCAGCAGCAGTAGGTGGGTGAATAATGGGAAGGACGTTCATCCAAATGTGGTGATCAGGCAGCGCAGCACCACCCCTCCACGTCAGCACCTTTTGCACAAAAATAGTCATAAGTGAGGAGAGCTGTATGGAGACCCCCTTTTGTTCCCCTAACTTATTGCAACTGAACATGCACTCTGGTTTCATTATTCGTACATGAGTGGAGTCAAATGGTTGCAAATAGACTGCACTGCACACTGATGTATTTTTTCATACATTAGTTGAGTTACCGGTAAATGGGTGGAAGGAGAACGCGCTCTCTGATCTCCTCTTTTGTACGAGAGACGCAGTTAATTGGGTGTAAAGAGAGGGGGCACTCTGATGACACTCTGAGTTAATCACTTCGAGTATACAAGCTATCTAGAAAAAACATATTGAAGTACATATTTGTATATCGATTTTCTGAGTATCCGTAATGTCTGGTCAGTATGCGTACTCAGATTCTTCACTGTATGGTACTCGCTGCTGGATCGCTCTATACCACGTATGTACACACGCCCTTCCCAAAGCGCAGGTGTGACAAACGCGAATGTTCTAAAACGCATCCAAATAGCAGGACGGGTCAAGTGACCAAACCAATGTAGGCTCGTTTCCTCCACAAGCTAACCTCAATGGGGGGACGTGACGACTCCAGGTCAGCGCGTTTCGAATATGACGCTAGTAATTTCTGGTTCGGTGTGTGCGACTCGCGGTTTCAGAATTATCCGTACGAATCTTGCGCTTCGGCTTTCCATACCTCTCAGATTTGCGCACCTCGCCTACACCCGCCCCTCCTACAGCCCTCACATCTTGTCAAGTGCCATGCCCAACCAGTCCAGGTGCTCCCGCTCCAACCTAACCCAAATCCATCCACCTTACAGGATCACTGCCTCGTCCAAACTACTGTCTGCTTCGTTTCTCCTTCCCACCCCTTATCCTGCGTTCTGCTTTCGAAACAACGCCCAGATATGATCAAGCACCACCACACGACCAGCCTCCAGTAGCAATTATGAAGTAAATTAGTCGAACTCCTTCGTCGCCGAGAACAATTCACGCGTCTTGATGTTGCCTTCACGATCACATTCCACCTCGTCGATTCACCCCAGCAGAGACATGACGGGAAGCGCTCAGGGCGCGCTTTCGCGCCTTCAGCAGCAGCAGCAACAAGAAGAGGTAGTAGGGCAGATATACCCAACCAGGCGGCATCAACACCAGCAACGGCAGCTGCAACCTCAGCAGCAGTACGGACAGGTGTACCCCGAAGAGAGAGAGGCGCCGCAGAAGCAGGATCGCGCGGTACCTGCTAGGAAAGAGGTGGCGAAATTGCGGGCGCGCGGTTCGAGCCGGCAACGGGAATGGAAGGCAAAGAACCTGATGCGCTCGAGTCAACGAAGTCAACGGCGTTCGCCCGCGCGGTACGAGGGAGGCAGCGACCAGCCAGACTGCTTCTCCTCGTGTTGCTGCTTGATGTTTGTTCGCCGTAATCGACGGCCCCGATCGTCTTGCGGCAGCGCCTCGATCCATTCCGGCCCGCTCTCTTCTACGCGGCGGAGCCAGGAGCTTGCGCACGAAGCATTCGCGGACTATGGCGCTGAACTGGCGCTATCAGGGCATGGGGGAACGGGAACGGTGGCCGCGCGCAATGTTTCCGCTGTCGAGCTTCTCCGCGCTGGGTCGCGCAATGAGGGGGCGCGCGGGAGAGGGTGGGTTGCGGGGGAGAGCGACGACGACGACGACGACGACGATGACGATGACGCTAACGATGACGGTGTCGGCGATGACGGCGATTATGACGGAGAGGACGAGCAACATGGGGAAATCGAAAGGGAGCAAGGGTCGGTTGAAAGTGCTGAAAACCCTGGACAATCGGACGCCTGCGTTACCCAAGAGTTCGTCGTCTCGTCGGCTGCCACAATTTTTCGCAACAATGCAACCAGCACGCCCGCGGAAAACCCGGCTGACGTGTCCGAAGCCGCTGACAACCGTTTCCCCTCCGCGCCTCGCCTCCCGCGCGGCGTTTCCAAGGAGACTCTTGTGTCGCTCATCCGCACGGCGGAGGAAGTCGGTGCGCTGCGCGCGACGGAATCGAAGGACGCCGCAGCGCTGCTGCTCGCAGCCTTGGAAGACATTTCCGTGCCGTCCGTCCACCGAGCCAGCAGCCTCGGCAAGATCTCCTGCAGCTCCGGCTCCGGAGCTGCCGCCGCCGCTGCGGCATCTGCAGCAGCGGCCGCTGCGGCGGCGGCCGCCGCCGCCACCGCTGTAACGGGGCGTTCGAGAAGACCGATTTTGGGAAGTGGCAAGTTGGCGTGCTTTCCCGGCGCCGACAGCTGCGTGGTTCCTCGATCTCTCTCCGCCGACCTCCTCACCACTCGTTCCCTCGAGCTAAGGCACTCACTGGAGCTCCGTCAGTTCATGGAAGAACAGCGTGCTATCGTGGGGGATGGGCTGTTGATTCTCGACCGTTCGATGGAGATGCAGCAAATGGCGGAGATGGACCCGATTTCCATGGAGCAGGAGTATTCCCCGAAGCACGGCGGCTTTGACGGGTCGATTGAGTTTGCCGGGTCAACGGCGGTCAACGGCCGGTCAATGGAGTTCAACCGGACTTTTGAAATCAAACGGTCCTCTCAGCCGCCCGTTCTTGCCGAGCCTAAACCCTCGTGCCGAGGCAGCAGCTCAGCTCCGACCCGCCCAGCGGTACCCCGGCAAGAGCCTCTGTCGCCTCTCATGCTTCCAAGCCACAGGCATGACTCGTTTGCCCCCACTCGTCTCTCTCTTGCGCGTGATTTGCCAGAGGAAAGTGAGGAGGGCGAGGAAACGGAGGATATTAGTGTAAGCAGGAGGAACAGCAGCAGCAACACCAGCACTGGCGGAGGCAGCTGCGAAGGGAGTGGCGCAAGGTGCAGAGCGGTAGCCGGACCAGAGGGCGGGTCGCAAAGGGATGCGGCGCGGTTTGGTTCCGATTCTGGTAGAGGAGAGGAGAGTCAAAGCGAAGAGGTAGCAGAACTGCAACAATTCGTCCGCAGCAGCAGGAGTGTCAACGCTGCCAGAGGTCACGAGCCGAGAGCTATTAACGGGGACAACACCAACCTGTCCCGTAACATGCATAACATGAACAGTCCTAACAATTTTAACAATCTTAACCGATCTGCTCCTTTGGACTTCCCAAGTCTCCCCTCCATGCCTGCCTGGCCAGCTCCGGCCAAGCCTCGAATGGCCTCGTCCGTCATAGTCAACGCTCGTCGCCGAACCTTTAGTCGCCCACACTCCCCTGCTCGAGCCTACAGCCCCCGACCTCTTTCCCCCATAGCCTCATCCACTCCAACAGGTTCGGGCTTGGGAGGTGCCTCAGGGTGGGCTGCAAGGAGGGGAGTGGACGCCGGCAGCAGTGCAGATAGAGGTGGGGAAGGGAGTGGCGTTGCAGCGATCGACGAATCAAATGGCGAGGTTCGACGCTCTTATGCAAGCTTGGAAAGAAGCTGGTCTGGAGATCTGGGCATGAGGGGTGGATTTACCGAAAGTGGGGTTAACTTGAGAGAGAAGGCGTGGGATGGTGAGCAGGTCGGGGAGGAAGAAGATGCTTGGGAGATGAGGCAACAGCACCAAAGCCAGCAGATCCAGCAGGGACCACAAGACGTTGATGAGGATTTGTATTACTACCATTTGTGGCAGCAGCAGCATAAGCAGTTTCAGAAACTGTATGAGCAGGAGGAAGATGGTGGGTTCCAGCAGCAGGAGCAGCAGGTGCAGTACCAGCAACGCCTGCAACAGGAAGCAAGGGCTAGAGATGGTGTCAAACGGCATTGGAGGCCTTGATCCAATGCTGTTGGATGCGAATAGCGTAGGAATTGGAGTCTTGTGATGGATTTGTTAAACTAATCCCATATTTCATAGTATTTGTACATTGCACGCTGATATGTTGAAGTGTTTTTTCTCCTGTAAAGAATGCTGAAGGTTGTGGTGCCTATCTTCTGAAGTATGGACTGATATCAGGAGCGTTGTAACGTGTAGCTCGACATGGGGCAAAGGAGGGGGGTTGGAAGTGACAGGCTTTAGGCGGGAAAAACCTCTGAGATTTGTGCAGTTCGATAATTGCAGTTCGATTGCAGTCCAGTCCAGTGATGGCGATGAATTTGCCAGTTCATCTCAGCCGTCGAACTGGTCTTTTGATTTCAATCATGAACAAACATACCAGCTGTCACTTCGCCAATGGCTTCAAGTCTCACCCCCTCATGATACAGTCTCCACAACCAGGTGTCCAAGATGGATGAAGCAAGGTGTTAGAAAGCAAAATGCAGGAAACGGTAGCAAAGAGGAAATCTTTTCATTGCCATTTTCTTCCATCGAAATGAGTACAGTACCGTATCATCGCGCCCATTCAGCACAAGATGGAAAGTCTCCCTTGTCAGCTGTCCTTTTTTCCCTCGTGACCAAGGTGCTCTGCGACTCTGTGGTGACAATCCCCGCCACCCACTCTCAAGCACAAACTCATCCGACAAATCGCGCTTCGAAACTTGAATTTCCCTCGTCCCCCCAGCCAAGTGCAAATTCCCTTTTCCTCCCATGATCCCATCTTGAGCATCTGTCTGGTCTGGAGCAGCTGGCCCACACACACACCCCACCTCCACGGTACTGTACGAGTGTTACCCCTCTGGAATACTCTAGCCAGCCAAGCCAGCCTGTGCTCGAAATTGTTCCTCTGCTGCTAGTGCCTAGTGCTGAAGCATTTGCAGAGAGACACCACCCTGAGTATAGCACCCTGCCTGCTGATCACCCAAGCCAACCAAACTCAAACCCCAACCTTACACAGAAAAACGCGTGGGGGTTTGATAAGCACCCTGAGTCACGCGCGTAAACTGTGAGGCGCCAACCTACAGTAATCTTGGACGAGAAGAAGCCGGTGTTGGTTGGCTGTGAGGATCTGAGTCAAAGAAACCTGGCAGCTTCTGAGCCAGGTCAAAACATTTATTTTCTACGCATACGTCGTTGACGGAATAACTAATGCGATTAATTCATCCTTCTGTTTTATCTGTCCCTCGAAGTCTCGCAGAAGTAGTAATGTTGCGTTTAGTCATGCTTTGACGACCATCACCTTCGTGCCGCAAACCGCCATTATCTCTGTAGCGCTTAGCTCTTGTACTCACGCGTACCTCACGCGTGAACTTCGCTAATTCCTCAACAAGAATTTGTGATACAAGTATTACGGAACCTCCCAATCCTGGACTGCCAGTCGACGACGCCACGTGTCATGCAACGACTGGCGTGGAGGCGAGGAGTCCCTTGCAAAATCTGCGGTGCGGTTTTTCCGAACCAAAGCGCATCCACCGGCGATGACTAGTACCGTAGCTGCCAGCAACGACAGAAGAACGGCCACTACCAGCGCCTTGGCGTCGCCGAGGTCGCGCGGCGTGCTTTGCGATAAGCGGGAGGCTGTCGCAGCGAGCAGCACGTGCGAGGGCGTCGCGCCTTGCGACACCAGCACGCCCTGCGACATCGCCAGCACGTGTCTTCACACCGTCCGCCGTAGTAACTGCGCCCTGCACGCTTGCGCGGGTCTCGCGAACGACGCTACCACTAGTAATAACAGCGAGTCGCACCCAGGTGGTGAGGATAGTAGTAGCATTGGTGCTGCGGCCGCGGTGGGCGCGCCATGTTCAGTCGCGGCTGTTGACGAGTCTCCCGAAGTCGCTGCCGTCCCGACGCCGCATGTTTTAATTGCGGCGTTAAAGAGCCCCAACGGCCCAACGCATCGCATAGAAGATTCCACGGCCCGGGCAACCCACGACAATCCGACACGGGACGCTGCGAATTGCACAAGTGGTAGTGCAGCGAGTGCAGCGGCTGAGTGTAGCGCTGTTTCTAAGAGACCTAGCAGTCCTCGTAAAGCTATTCTGGATGTGTTGCGCGGGGGCCCACTGCACAGCGAACGGGGAGCTCTAAAACGGGGATGGTCTCGCATCGTTAGCTTCGTGCGGAGAGAAAACCGGCAGGCGCGGGAGCAGAAGGAGTTCGAGTCGAGGAAGAGACAGGAGAAAAGCGCAGCCGCCGTGAGGGGCGGCGGAGAGGCTACTATCACCAGCATTAGAGCCGGCGGGGAGGCTCTTGCGAGCGAGAGTAGCGCCAATTCGCGGTTGACATTCGGCGATTGGGCTTCTGGCGGAGGCGCGACCAGCAGCAGCCCTGGCGATCCGAAGGCGCGGCTGGTGCAGGCTTCGCGGAAGCCGGCGGAGAGCAGCGCAGGTTGCAACGGGACGTTGCGGAAGGGCGGGGGGGGCGCGGTATGCGCGGCATTTGTCCCCACGATGATGTGCGTGAATGAAGGGGCGAGGAATGGGGAGCGTGGGACGCGGGATTGGGAGCCAAGTGGGGAGGGGGACGGAGCGGTTGAGTCGGGTACAGGGGGCGGTAATGATGACACGGAGACTTCTCTCAGCTTCCATGTGCGCCGGGACTGGGGCGGGGATGAGCAGGCGGAAGGGGCCGACGAAGGACAGGTGGAGGTGGTAAGCCGCGGGGCGGAAGCGGAGGAGTTGGGCGGGCCGGGGTGGACGCACCTGGCAAGAGCTGCTCTGGAGCCGTGGGAGGTGTGCGAAGGCGTGGGCGCCGTGCGGGCTGTAGATGAGTGCGGCTATAGCGGGGATGGAGTGGGAGGAGAGGGAGGTTGCAGCGATAGTGGGGAGGCCGTGCTGGTGTACGTTCCTCACGTCAACCCGTCACCACAGCCGCCGACAGCACTGCTGGCAGCGGCACTGCAACGCACTGCTGCTCATTGTGGGATTGCAAGCGAGCTTGCAGCAACAGCAGCAGCCACAGCTGGAGGAACATCAACAGCAACAGCAAGAGGGACAGGAACAGCATCAGGAGGCTCAGCAGCAAACGCCACAGCAAGAGCCCCGGGGACTGCACCATCGTCGCCGTCAGCCCTGGTAGCAGCAAGGCGGGCTGTAACTCGAACATACTCGACTGGAAGCTTCCAGTGTCAGGTGTCAGGCTATGTTGCATCGCCTCAGCGGGTGTTCAATCGCCTGCCTGATGACATCTGGCCCAGATTGAATCGCAGTCATGTGAATTGGAGGAGTGGGAGTGTGGGTGGAATTGATAACAGGAGTGAGGGGGGGGGAGCTTGTGGTTGTTGCAATAGTGAGGATGGATGTGAACATGTGGGGGCAGGGAAGGGGGCAGAGATGCGAGAAGCAGCAGAGGAGGAGGGGTGCAGAGGACAAAAATGTGTGAGTGCCAGTGATAAGGATGACATCAACGCTGGTGTGGGCGAACAAGGGGATGCGGATGAGAAGCAGTCACAACGGATGCCATCAATGCCGTCGCTGACGATACCAACAATGCCAAGTCCGCGCACTGCGGCTTCTGTCATACGCAATGCTCGGCGCATAACAGCTCCTGCTCTGGCTCACGAGCGAAGCTTTCTAACCGCGACACACGGCAAGGGAACAATCTAGCTTGCAGGTAAATGTATATGGAGTACCTCGTAACCAAGTGAGAAAAGGTGTTCCCTTTGGTAGCACGTAAGAGAAATAATAAATGGTAGGCGCTTCTTGCAGGAGCCATGTAGTGTACTAGTGGCTAGCTAAAGTCCATATATTAGTAATTAAGTTGCTATTATGTATTCTATAATATTTTGCCAACAGTTTTCCTGCTCATATAAGTATATTGATTAATTTGTACATTCTTTTCATGGCTAGTATATGTGAACTTTGTACAACCTCACTGTATTATCAAAGTTCAGCTTCACTTCAGTGACATTTCTTGCAGGACGGTCGAGCATTGCCTTGCCGTGCACGCCTCACATCTCAAGAATGGGGGTCCGACCTCTAACGCAGGTATGCCACTCTGGTGGGATAGCATCTAGGTAGCATAAAAACTACCGCTCAAAGAGGCGACACAATCTAGATGATCCGTAGTTAGGCCGGCTTATCGAATCGTGAAGCCTTGTGTTTCTGACGCACGCCATGGCAGCGCAGTTAGCGCGGCTAGCTAGTCGGAAACGGGTGACGTTGGAAGAGAAGGAGCAGCATCAGTGGGTGGTCGACGAAGCGACGCTTTCGTCAGTCATCGCTAATGGCGAAGATGTCGGACCTATTATTCGCCCGGCATTTGAAATGGGAAAACCTGAAGCGCTTCTTCACCAGGTTAGCGGCGTGCCCTTAGTTAGGTTTTCAACACTTTTTGGTATAGTTATTGTTGGTTGATACCTGATTTTTCTTTCAGGTCGTCTGAATGTTCAACGCCATTCTTACCTCGCCTTGCTCATGCCTCTTGAAAAACGCATTCCTTTTAGTGTCCCTCGTCATCAGTTGCTCGACATCAATGTAAGCCTTAAAGACAACGCCTTGATGCATTAAAAGACAAGCAAGACCTTGACGGTCTTATAGTGGCATTGACACTCTTTAAGATCAGAACCTTCAATACAAGCCCGAGAGACCTTTTTGACGCCTTAAGGAGCAATGTGTCAGGCATTGGGTCATGAGATATGCACATCAGGTG